GCTTGATGCTGCAGCCAACACGAGCGATGCCAGGGCCACCACGACGACCAGCAGTTTTCGAAAGTCCAGTAGAACTAAAGAATTACCTAAAAGCACTAAATGAATATTTTGCAATAGTAGGAAGACCAAGGTAAGATTTATGGAAGAGAGGAAATTATACAACACTGGTCAGTGTCAAGAGAAGATAAAGTTCATACCTTCTCTTTGAAAGTGTTCATATCGGAAATTCGGCTTATGACACAAATTTTGTTTGATATGAAAACTTACAACATGATAAATTGTTCCTATAATTACGTGTGGACGCAACGATCCAACAATATTTTTACCGTTTGGGGCACGGTAATGTGATTTCTTCGTTCGCCAATGACATGGTAATTGAATTGCAGTGATACGGTAACGTTAGTTCATAATGGAGTGCAAGATGAGAAATGTCCTTATTCAGATAGCAGGCTAGTATACGTTATCATATCACACAATTCACCTCACCGTTAACCAAAGCAATGGCGTCCACATATGATACAGGAACTATTTGCGGACTTTCTATGTGATCCAAGCTTGATATGGTCGAAATTTACGCCATTTTGAAGAAGATGTAACGACCGTTACCTTCTCCTGATAGCAACTAGCGTATTTGCGTCCATAAACTATACTGAGGTATGCGTGTCATTTTAATTAACGTGTGTTTTGATGGTCATGGAAATGTACTCAAATTTTTGTTCTAGTGGTAATGATGACACGTTGTGCAGTGGATTTACTTTCTCTGTTATATTCAACCTTTGATTTAATGATCATTACTACAGGAACATGAGAAGCCGAGACAATACCTATTTTCCTCAGTATTATCTACATATATCACATAAATCCCTGATATATTGCATAGAACAATAATAGAATATAGACAGGCTATTCAGTCATTGTGAGGCGGTTCATCAGTTCAAGAGATGCTGATATCTGATCCGTCAACGCGTTTCCAACATTCAAAACAACGCCAAATATAAATGCATCAGTTTAAAATAAAGGTTTAACAGGGGATTGTGTGGAAAATGATGTTGTTTTCGTTATGGTTTCCCCTTCCCCTCATGTAACGATATTTTTAAAAAGTTGATTTGACATTCACTTTGATAAGTACAATTAGTACCACTATTGGGGTACAAAATCCTCGTTTACGTACCCCCTCCCGGCCTCACAATAACGCAATTGAGTTCGTTCTTGCGCAACTTAATAATTGGATGTAGCATCCCTGGGGAAGAATATAAGAGCAAAATTTACAACTAATCTTACAAATCTCCCGTTCTAAACAGCTCTGAAACTGATCGGGTATTTTCTACGGTGACCGTGCGGTCTGTCATTTCTGCGAATCTGTGGTCAGTAACATTTCTACGCTCTCCGTAGAATTTCTGCGGTCGGATACTTTTGCAGTCACATTTCTTGCGGCAGCCGCACGGCGAATTAGAAAGTGCTGAATGTGCTGAATGTTACATTGACCATTAGTAACTTAATCTTTTGTAGTATAGGTTGCTATGGTAATACATCAAACAGCATACCTATTATGCTGTGTTCTCAGCAAAGGTATGACAGCAAACCTGACCTAAAACTGTTTCCAAATGTATATAACGCATCAAAACACTACGGCAGACGCAAGTCAACGTGCGGCCACCGTGGGACTGTTCTGTGGTTTGGCTATCATATGTGTGGCCTCTTATATTTTGATGCTTCTCTGCCATGTTATTTTCGGAAAAAATAACATGGCTTAAACTTCCTAAATTACAAAAGGCCACAAATTTGCTGCACATTATACATAACTATCTGAAATATACAAAAGTTGGGACTTGTACATATGTTTCCATTTTTTATATACTGTTGCAATATAGTCATTTGATTGCTTATTTTTTAAATTCAAAGTAGTTCCAAACATTTAAAATGTTACTGTATGAGAGAGAAAAACAATAACATTGCGTATATGACTCAAATTATATTATATAATTTGTGTATGCATGGGCCGGGGCTATTTCTTGATCTGTTTTAAAGAATTCATTTTCACATTTGCATCAACTATTACAGCCATTTTCTAATGAGGAGCCTAATTAGATTTAAATGGTATATATAATATACATGTTCAAATTGTATCTTAATTATTCATCGTATTTGTTTATAAAGTAAATATATATATTTTCTATTTCTGATGATAAACCTTTCCAAAACAGTATGTTCTTGACATTTCAGATTTGGAAGAAGCGTAGAAAAACGATCGTTCGACACATTTGTGCGAAGCAACCCATCACTCTCTCATCTACTCGACACTGATGGTGCGTATTTGCGTATTTGCGTATTACCTTGTTATCTTGCATCAAACCTCTACTCTTCTAATTGTCCTTTTCCTTGTCTATGTACATAGAAATAGTTATTTTAATGTGAATGGGATACACAAGAGATGTTTGATGCAACAGTAATATTCCTTTATACAGCTGCCTTAACCAACGATGTCAAATGTATCACTTTTCGTTGATATATCAGTTTAAAGTGAGGGAGTGCAATGTATAGAGGTTATTTAATGGGAGGGATGGAATATGAATTTTATTTCAAGGGAAAATATGATATTGGCCAAGGGGAATACCATTATGATCGAGGGCGATAGCCCGATTGTCAATATGATATTTTCCGAGGAGAATGTCATATTTTCTCAAGGAAAAATCCCCACCATCAATAACCCATTTATTTCATAATATTTATTCTGAAATTTATTCATTTCAAAGTTTGAATATGATTGAATAGTTCGGATACGGGATTTTAACTCATACGGGATCCAATACGGAATCGTATACGAAATTTTGGCTGATAAGGGATCTGTCCAGGGAAAACATGATATTATGGAATAAATATTATCACATATATGAGAAGGGGACATCTTAAGCTACAAGTGTTCAGTTGTTCCAATTATGTAAACCATGACAATGGAAAATTGTTATATCTATATTTTTAAATTGGTTGATTTTACTGTCATTTGATTATCTCTAAATTAGACCTACTCCATGAACACAGTTAGCTTTGATTTCTGTTTTCTTTCTGTAGAGTAGACGATCGTTTGATGACAAGTTACATGGCCATGCTCATGGATCAGCTTCCTTAGCAGTATATGAAAATCTCCAAAGACAATTTACAAGTTCCACTGTGTGGATCCATGCGACAAGAGACTCTCGTATGAGATACCGTTGAATTGAATCCTTCAGATAGTACGCCATGATTTATGGTGCCATAATAGGGAACGTATTTTCCGTTTCACACATTTGTGACTGATGCAACAGACTCGACAAAATCTAACATTTTCCACCACTTGCGATATGAGACTTGTTATTAGTTGAACTGTTGCTTGTTGGACAACACATAGCCATACCAATACAAATAGTCCCCACCGTGAAAATGATAATTCACCCGATGTACACACATACAACGCATGTGAAAGCCAAGTTTTTGGAATATCGGGTTATTCCTTTTCTTGCCAGGGTCGGGTATTCCTCGGATATTCCAGCTTAACTAATTATGTAACATTTTCTATCAAAATATTGTAGTTTCTGTAGTTGTATGAAAGCGATCAATTTTAAAATCTAGAAACAATAGAAATTGGTGTACAGATTCCATATGTGTGGTCAGATTTCAATTAGGAACTCTGCTAATAGCATTATATTATCAACACGGTGCAATCGTGTTTCATGTAATATAAAACATATTATTGAATTGGAAATGTGTAGAAGAAATACTCTGGCAAGAAATGGCAAGGTGAATTTATCTGGTCACTTTCACATATGTGTTTTAATCAGTAAGGTTTTATGAACACAATATTAGTGATCTAATTCATCACAACCAATATTGCATATTCTAAAGACTTCTTGACGTATGACAACAATTATCTATTGCTTACGTTTATCGCATGCATAATTATTTTGTAATTTTGAATCTGTTATTATGTACGTTTCTCTGTTTAACAAAAAAATAAAGGGGAGTATAGCGATGAATAAAATATTGTGTTTAGCATTTCTTACATTGAAGGTGGAGTTCTACAAGGCTGTATTTTAGGACTGCTGTTGTTTATACTCTATTGATTATATTTTTCATTACATTATCAACCCATAGCATGGACAAGGGCTTATTTAATACCCGGGGCTTAATTGTGTACCAAACGAAACGAGAAACGAGACGACATCCGGGGCTTTGTTTGGTCTTCATTAGACAATAGTGTATAGAGGGGTATGTTTTCTCAGACCTAGGTACCTTTTTCTGTACCCTTTTGCGGTTATTTTACTCTATGGCATCGCAATCCGTTCACATCATTAGCTACATAAGTGATTAACTTAGATATATGATATGTAAATATGGGTTAATACGAACAGAATAAACAGGGAAATGTACTTGAAGTGGCGATTTTGTTTTCTGTCAGTCCAGTCTTACTCCCCTTACCCAACTCTATAGCGCAGTATAAGCCCTTAAAGGTGACCTGATTGTGCAAATGAGAAGACCCCGTTGGTTTCTCGTCAGCGCAATCAAAACGGACGCGGACAATCTTCGTTTTAACTGTTGTTTCCGAACGGTTCGTGACCGTAATTCACTAAACTATAGAAAATATGTTACCTTATGAGGATATATTGTTTTTACTTACCAATCATCAACATGTGCTGACATATTCAGCTCTGGACTTTATGTCCAAAGGAGGGTAAGACACATCATCAGAAAAAAGTTATCACACCCCTATCATGTCAAGTCGGTTTTACATAAAAAGCCCTCAATAGGCCGATCAATGATCATTAATTTGACATGTCTTCACTAGGCCTATACAGAATGATATATATTATACTTCTATTCAAAAACATATTAGTTCTGTTAAAACCAAATGAATATAGTCTTGCAATCTAAATAGACCTGTCATATTTTGAGCAGTTTAAGATTGCAAGAAAATGAAGGCTGGGATAACATTTATGTATATTTGGCATAATATTTCAAGTTCTCGGATATAATGGAGGAAACAAGATTGGCGTTAACGTTTACTTGGTGTGGAAGACAAATATCTACGATTACATAGCCACAATAATAATCGAATGGTGAAATAACAATGGCGAGAGGTGTCTGACCGGTTTTATATTGTACTACACGATAGTAACAAACAGTTATATTATAATATATGAACTAATGAATGAAATCTAATATAAGTTCAAAGTGCAAAATCAAGGCTAGCCTACTCTACCGCAGTGTAAAGTCTAAACTCTAAATATAATCATAATTTACGTATTGATACCATTATACATATTACTTTCACCAAAGGATAACAATTTTGAAAGTGTCACAAAGCAATAGAAAATGGAAGTGTCAGAGATACTACTGACAATCTTGGAAAGTGTTGTTTTCATAGTTAAGTCTCTCTACTTTGTATTGGAAGCAATTGTACTGAAGTTTGTGCCAGTTTCCTACAGGGCTAAGGATGTATCTGGAGAGACTGTATTGGTAACAGGAGCAGGTAATTATCAAAATCGGAAAAAGCTAGCACTAGACGAGTAGTTCTACCATACGTGTTGTCTTCAGAATAAGATTACGCAATCTTACATCATGAAGTATATTTGAGGAAAGTTTGAACATCCTAGCTATTTACTAATAAAGATATTACAAGTGGGGGGGGGTTGACCCCCTTGTGTATTCGTGTGACTTTTTGGACCTTACGGCTTCTAGGGTTAAAGGCCAGGTGAGAATTGTTTCTTATGCTCTACAAGCTTAGACCCGTCATTTAGTGGAGCTTCTCTTTTTTTCATATGTATGCATTATTAGATGCCTGGATGTTTGCCACCGATGCCTGACATACTTCTGTTTTTCTTTCCTTTTTTGAGATAACATTGATCAATAACGAATTGATATTTATGAAAATATGGCCCGACACAATACAAGTTTTGACTGCTTTTGAGAAAAATACATTTAACATTATCTAAAAGTTGCTATATTCTAAAAATTGAAAAATTGACTAAAAAAACTTGAAAGGCATTGATACAGGCATTTAAAATTGTCAAGACGAATGATATTGGGTTGTGAACTAAGTTAACTAACGAATTTGTTTCCTATTTTACACACACAAATTATCTGGAGAGGCTACGCTTGAATTGAATTATGATTCTTAGAAATGAACTCCGAAAGCTGGCTTTGATAATGCCCATCGGAATCCAAAAGCCAAATATAAGATCGATGGAGAATTTCCCGGGGATATTTTATACTAAGTTCATCTTGTGTTTCAGAAATGCACACGTTTGTCATCAAAGCACATTGCTGATCGAAACGCTATTGCCTAGCCATGTCATTTTATTTTTTAACCGTTAGGCAGCGGGCTGGGCAGGTTGATGTCCATACGATTTGCCAAGCTGGGATGTAGATTAGTTTTGTGGGACATTAACAAGGCAGGCTTGGATGAGACCGCCAATGCAGTGAAGCAACATGGAGCCATCTCGTATACTTATGTTTGTGACCTCAGTAGCCGAGATGATATATACACGGCAGCTGACAAGGTTTGCATATTTGCTCGATTCCTGCCAAACAATATGTGTCACCCTGTATCAATGTTAGTTTGTCATTGTATCAGTTATGCCAACTTTATGTGTCACCCTGTATGATTTTATGTGACATATGCATCAGTCATGCTAACGATGTATGTCACTGTGTCACCCTGTGTATATGTCACCCCGAACGCATCAAATCAAAGTAAATATTATTTGCAAGGTTATACCCTGTTTCAATTCATGGCTAATGTAAGTCTGTTCGGCATCCTGTATGAGACCATAATGTTATTGTGCCAGATGACAAACATTGTCATCTTCGACTTCCAAGGTGTTTTAATAGGACAAAGTCGTGGCTAAGGTTTTTCGGTCACCCTGTATTAGTGTCTGGTGAAAGTTGTGTCACTATAAAATCTATCACAATGCCCGATTCGGTTTCTTAGCTTAGTTCACGAGATATTGACATTTTTATTTTAAATATTTTAATATGAATCTACTCGCATTCTCCATTTGCAGGTCAAGCAGGAAGTGGGGAGTGTGGATATCCTCGTCAATAATGCTGGTATTGTAACTGGCAAAAAGTTCTTGGACTGCCCAGATAGCCTTATCCAGAAAACAATGGAAGTCAACACATCAGCACATTTTTGGGTGAGAAGGACCATCATTAGCACTGTCCTGTATGAATGGCTTCCCAAGTTTCTTTTCTGTTTTCCAACATTCGCGATGGGCAAGGGGGTTCGACATTTTTGGTACAAAAATCGATTTAAATTTGGAGTCTATTATTGCTTTTACCTGTATTCTTCTTTTTATTCTTCTTATCTGAACACGTTTTCTCAGTAACTAGAAGAGTTTGGGTAAATCTGATTATATCATCAGTTAGGGTATGTGACTGACCTACTCGGATATTAGGTCTGAGTTTATCTAGGTCAAAGATAAAATCTAGGTCGTTTTTCAAATAAAAAGTCTAAAAGCTGGAGTCTTGAATCATTTCACCAATCTAGTTTTCATTTTCTTTACAAATCATCAAAGAAATCGTCACTCTTACCTAGGTTTTTGTCTAATCTGAACTATTCACTGAACTCTTGAAAGTTTCTATGTATTTTAACCTTTCTTCAGGTTGTATAAACTTTACAATGATACGTTTAATTTCAACATTTCTTTGACGATATCTAACTGGCAGAGACTAGGGGCATTAAGGTGAAATGGAGGCTGACCAATCGCTCTGGATGAAGCTTGGAGACTTAGTCCACTGTCTAAAAATAATATTCAGATATAACCCATGTCTCTTGCAGACCTGCAAAGCATTCCTTCCTGCCATGCTGGACAAGAACCATGGACACATTGTCAATGTAGCAAGTTCAGCTGGGTTAGTAGGGGTAAATGGTAAGTTCACAACGTGACATGCGTGAATCGTGAATCTCCAAATGTTTTTGGATACCTAAGTATTCCGACTCTAGTAAAGGTCTTGCTGAAGAATTCAGGCGTAGCCAGGAGGGGGTGTGATGGTGCGACCGCACCCCGCCCCCCCCCCCATAACCAATGCAAATATGACCATAATGATAGAGGAAGAAAAGAGCCTTCAAATGCTTTTTATTTGAAGCTTCTAGCTCAATTTTGAAGGAAGTTATACATTTTTGTAAATTCAAAACAAATCTAACACGTTTTCTAATGATCTAATTATGTATATACAGTATATTCGTATTTTTGGGGTACCCGGTTTTTTCGACCGGGTACTGGGTACCAAATTTGAACCCAGCATGGAGGATTTACTACCCGGTACCCGGTTTTTTCTACAAACCTCTCATGTCAATGATGCACAGCCCCATGTAAGTCAATACTTACTCGAGTCTCTAGCTTACAGCTAGACGAAACTTCATTGATTTCGTATGTACTGTGCTACACGCACCTACACGCACCTAGAACTCATTTTTAATAAATTTTATAAATATTTTTAAGAATATTAATCATATTTAGGATGAAGCGTTGCTTGTCTGGATTTAGATATTTCAAAATTTCATTTCGGAGTTTCAACACATGGTGAAATTTTCTCGCTGTAGCTAAAAATGGCTTCCGGTTCTGGACGTGAATAACATTTGAAATTATTCTCGCTTAAAGAAATCAAATATAACAATAGATTCAGACGGGGATGTGAGCTGGTGTTCTTCAAATCTATACATAAAGGTATATTTCATATTATTATGCCATATTTACTGTGCGTGTGACACAATGATTTACAATATTTATAATACTAACGCAGCTCAATCTTCCTCCTCAAAGCCGGAATATAGAGAAGGCTTTGGACCGAAGTAAGTCAATACAACCTTACTGAACTAAATGACCCCTATCTCAGCTTATGTGTACCCGAGCACTTTAATATTTTCCAAAGAATTATATTAGACATTATATTCTTCATGTTACACCTAAGAATGATTTATTTTGACCATGATGGGGGTATATACCAATTATCGCACCTCTTCCTTTGATTTCTTTTGTTATTACTATTCAACTATTGAATGAGTGAATAGGATGTAATTTCTTCAGCGTTAGTGCCACACTAGTTTTGGATCGTAGCTTACCAAGTGTGAATTCTTTAAAAACAATAGAAAAAGAATGCATACTTCTTTGTTACAACTGTACATTCTTTAGAATTCTATTGTTTTGCTCCCTAAGTGAAGTTTAGTGAGTAGTATTAGTAAAATTACAATCAAATGAAACAGTTACTTATCAATTTAGTTTTCTCGAAGAAAGTACTTTTAGCTTAAACGATGGAGGTACTGAATAGACATATATTGTTGAATTATAACTGGGGTTTTTGATTTTATTTTCAGGTCTTGCTGATTATTGCGCCAGTAAGTTTGCTGCTGTTGGGTTTGACGAGTCGTTACGTTATGAGTTCATTGCTCAGGGAAAGACAGGGGTTCATACCACGGTTGTTTGCCCGTATTACATCAACACCGGCATGTTCACCGGTGTTAAGACAAAGTGAGTTGTAAATTACAGGGATTTGTAAATCTAATTTATCCATATGGAAGTCCATAATAACCACTTTACTCCCCTATCACACCAAACTCGTTCTTACCCGTTCTTGCCAGTCCTACGAAAACGTCGTAAAACGGGCTCAATCTGGCTGTGGTCGGGAAATATGTCTGAAATAATTAGCTTCTTCGTTCTTAAACAGTCTTCAATACGTCCATCTCGTTCGCAGTTCGTTCAGGTCGCACCACGTCGGTGTGCAACGCCGTAGAACGCGTCCCTTAGTCTAGAAGGTCATCATGACCTGATAACAGAACGGTATGGTCGCAATCGAATTTTGAATCGATTAAAAATTCTAAAATCACACTCCCGTCTGAGAACGTTCATAAAGTTCGTAAATAGACCTTAGAAAGTTACAGGTACGTTCATTCCGTTCGCACACAGTTTAAAACCAGTTTTGAAGAACGCAGTGGCAACTTGTTTGGTGTGATAGCTATATTTTTGCTAACTCGTTCATAAGCAGTGTTAAATACGTTCTTAATCAGTTTAAACCCGTTTGCAATGAGTTCTACCTCGTTCTCAACACGTCCTCGGACACTTCAACTCGTTGTTAAAACGTCCCTAGTAGGATTGAAGTACGACGGTTCCGTTCGTATTACGTCCAGCTCGTCGTTAGTACGTTGTCACTCGTTCTAATTGTAGAACGTGACGACCACGAGAACATTTTGAGCATTGTCTAAGTTCTAGAGGACCTACCCGTTCGAGTACGTTCGATGAAGTTTGTAAATAGACCCCAACCGGTTCTTAGTACGTCCAGTCCGTTCGTACACAGTTGAAGCCCGTTTTCGAGAACGTAGTGAGAACTAGTTTGGTGTGATAGTAGGGTTAAACAAGTCCATCGTCCCTCGAACTTGGTGTGAAACACGATGTCAATCTCCATTTCTGTAAATGTAAAAAGATCATCATTACGGATATTAATTAGAAATGTGATACTCTGATACCAGACTATCTTTCATTCCCATCCCCTGTATAATCACTGAATAGTAATACCTCCCAGTAACAGTGTAAGTGGTAATGTCCTCGAAACAAAGGTACGTGCCATTACTTCCACCTGGGCCAAGGTGTAAGACGATAATGATTTGTTTTCATTTGTTATTTGTAATTTAAGAATCATCATAATAATCATCATCATAATTTCGGCAACGTAAACTCCTGCATTGGGCAACGTGTTTGCATTTTTATCTACATAATTTGTAGCTAGACAATGATTACTCCAAGGTGTTATTCTTTCTACATTCACAACAGGCCGAAATTGAAGACTTTGATTAACTTTTGAAATACTTGAAGACAAGTGATATATAGTAGTTGGAATATAAGATTTGCTTAAACAACAGGGACAGGTGTAAAAGGGGGTTCTATCAAATTATGGTCCTACTCTCCATTGATTTATATGGTGACCTCTTTAGCTCTCTTTCCCTTATTTTCTTATACACAGTCAGGGCCAGTAAGAGCCGTTAAGAAGGGGGACCATAATCCCTGGGAGACCATAATTTCTTTCACACCTGAACAGATAGAATTGTCCAGTGATTTGCACTTACTTAGAGATGCTAATTTTTTTTTTATTTTTTATACATTATCAATTTATTTCATCATAATCATGTTTTACAAGAATGGCTTGCCAATCGCTTATAAAGCATTATAGGCTAAGCTAGAAAATACATAAATTTAATTACAAATGTAAATGCATGTAGTATGGAAGAATAGCAGCAATTTGGATAAGAAATGGGAAATAGGACAGGCTGGATGCTAATTGGGCAACTACTGATGAATATACCTGTATCTTTATGATAGTGAATAAATAACATGAAAAAAGTAAGTTAAACGACGTAAAGCTCCAAATTACATTCTTCACAAATCTATTTGTTTTGCAGATTCCCCAGGATTCTTCCGATTGTTGAACCAGAAGATGCGGTGGACAGAATCATGAACGCAGTACTGGTGAACCAACATATTGTCATGATCCCAGGCATACTTTATCTATTCATGGCATTAAAGGGGTGAGTTTAATCAGTTAAGATAAATCCGGATGAAAATTGAATTGTGTTACATCTTTAATACGTACATGAATGTGCAATATTATGATCCCCAGGGATTGTTACCCTCTTCTCAAGAGACTAGATACAGGTAGAAAATCTTGATTTGCGTCATAAAAATTGAAAATTCAGTCAAAGTGATAACATATTTGAAATCTACATGTAGAAATACATCTAAAGATGTGTTACAATACGAGGGTTGTCCCAGAAGTAATGCACTTTATGCTCAAACTTTATCTAAAAAGTGTTTATCAATTTTAAAAATTTAATTTTCTTTGAAATGTGACTATTAGATCGAGGAGATTCCCCATATAAAATTACAAAATGTGAAAATCAATTAAGGTGAATCCGCATTAAAAGATGAATAATGTGATACCATTGTGAATGTGTAATATTATAAACCCAAGGATTGGTTTTCCAGGGACCAAATTACAACTTTTTTCTTTATACCCTTATGCACACTAGGAAGGTTCATGCTCTGAACTGGTGAACTAATCCCAGGCAATGTTCACACATGTTAACATACACGTGTCTACAAAACGTGAGCCTTTACCTTCCCACTATAAGACATCTGGACATGCTTTATTGTATAATTCATGTGGAATGTTTCCAACTTTGTCTCCATACTATGACACTTATTACATAATGTTTCATGAAATTATTGATGCTATGTTTAAAATAGAATTTTCTTGGCAAATCATTGAGATGTCCACTAATATAGGTAATCAGGGTTCATACCACATTTAATAATAGTACCCAGACACCGTGGTCTAATCCAATAAACAAATCGCACCAGTCTCCATTGGCATTGACAAAAATAGAGAAATAAATATTAAAACTAACTGATAATTGATAAAAACTTGATCCAAACAAAGAACAGAGAATGTCAGTCTCTGAGAAGTCCTCATAAGCAAATATATAATCATCAATATTTGGAGAAAACTCGAGGAATTACAAGGGAGATGGTTACGATGCCATGAAATACATTTACGTTTTATCTAGAGGTTGACTACCAAGTTTCTAATGGAATTATACAAGAGAGTCACTGTACTGTTGTTTTTCAGGCTAATTCCAACTAAAGCGGGTCTTTTGTTTGCTGAGCATTTTGGCATCAACAACTGTATGGATGACTTCACTGGAAGACAAAAGCAGGAGTGATACCAAAGATTACAACAAGACAATAACCATTTTAATGATAACTAACCCTGTGCCACAACGCTCCCTATGACTAATCATTAAAATGATGACATAATTATGTGAATGCATAATGGCAAACACTGATATCATTGACCAATGACAACTTAACCCATTGAACAACCATATTTTACAAAAATACATGGCTGCTCATTAGCCAAATTGTCATTTGTATGTTAAGTAGGCCATTATAAAACTTCAACAAAATCGCTCGACTACTTTTGGAGTAAAAACCAAAAATTACATATGTAAAATGGCAGCCATTTTTAAAAATGGCCACCCACTAGTCCAATTGTCATAAGACAGTGTGCCATACTGTATTCACATCTCAAATATGAACAAAATCGCTCCATTATTTTTCAGGTTACAGCAATCATAAAATAGTGTTTTATGGTCACAATTTTTCAGGCCACCATGATTTTTCTTAATACTTAGATTTTCAACTTAATCAGTAACCTATATGATTTTTTGCATTGAAACCATATTATTATTGCAGATTTTTATGTTGTACCTAAAATACTGTTGACACTAAAATGGTGGCCATTTTGAAACCAGTGGCCATTTTGTTCGATAGGATTATAACTCGACAAAGCTCAAACACTACACGAAGTATACAAGTGGCGCTTCATTTGAGGAGCTTTAGATGCTGTAATGCTAGATTGAAAATTTCAAACTTGGGCCAAAAAATAAAAACAAATTAAGTAACATTTGCTATGTCAGTACTAATATAGTGTCAACACTTATCACTTAAGAAAAATCACAAAATATAATGTTATGAAATAATATGATAACACGTTGCAGAACATGTGCAACTGATGGTGGGATTCAGAATGGCATAACAAAATATACATACCCCTTGTATTTGTCAACTCTAGTTCCCCTGCCCTTGGGCCAATAATTATGCATGTTTGGGTTTTGCCATTTTCAAAATTTACCTTTTCCATATATATCTGACCTATTGTAATGGAGTAACAGATCGAAAAATATAAAACTTGAAGACTTTAAAAATTATCACATACTGTAGTTTACAGATTTTTGTGTTATATAAAAGCGGGCTATTCAAAAAATACATTTCTGCAAAATTATTATTTGGATATATTATTAAACATGGGATTACATAAAGATGTTGGACAGATGCATACACCAGGGAAACATACGATGTGGTAAATTTAGAACTGAAACTTTGAAGATGAGGCTATATTTATGAAGCAAAGTCAAACAAATGCGAAGGATAAAACTTTGAAGACAATGCCTATGATAAGAAATACCACCATAATGATCGTTCCTACTATCAGATCTAATATCAAAACATTAATTCCTCAACCAGACACTGTAGACAAGATTTTAAAGGCCCCATGTAAAGTTTAAACCACTTTGGCTTATATTGTAGTCTTACCCAATGTTATCAAAGTGTGATATGTGAAACTTTTTTTTTAAATTTCAAAAAGTGGTTTTTGATAGACTTTTTGTTCCAAAATTTGTGAATTTATTTAAAACCAACTTTTAGAGGTCACTCATATCTTCTAATTAGCCACAATTCATATCAATGCATAGCATTCATCCTCCCATGTTTTTTGCCGAAAAAATTAAGAAAATCGGTTGATAAACAAGCAAAAATTGAACTTATCGGTGCATGAAAATGGTTCTGAGAAAAATGCATTTCAAAATTTTAGTTCTCATAGAAACCAATGGTACAAAGATATTTAAAACATAATTTATTCTTCCTTTTTACCTGGTTAGACAATCAACATTGGTTTTTTATGAAAGTCTAACATATTTAGAAAAGATTGACATCGAAAAAGAAATTTGAATTTTTTTCAAAAAGTTTTTGGTACCTTAGTGACATCACTAATGTTTCAAAATATTTTTGATATGTTAAAACATTGAAGTGGCCCATTAAATATGGCATTTTATTATTGAAATAGTGTGTCCTTTGTTCAACCTTTGCATTGGTGTTAAAAAGATAATCTTTTTTGAAATCCATTAAGAAATATTTGATGATTAAGAAATTTCAACTTTTTTTGAAAAATGGCGGGAAATTTGAATATTTGAGAAATGAAATGCTCACAACTTTTTTTTCAAAATTTTTTTTTTGTTCAAAAATCTCTAAAATCACTTTTTAAGTCCTGACAAATAGTAAATGAATGAAAAAAAAATATTTTCAAACTTTAGACGGGGACTTTAAGAGGAACAATTCAAAATGGCCACCAAATCCAGAATGCCCTAAAAGTAATCAGATCTAGCTTTTTATACCTAGCAACATATTTGGTGAAAACCTCTCGGACTTTTTAACACTTAACTATGAATCATCAGCTAGTGAATGATAGAACTGTGAATATATTATTAATGCCTTGGATAAACAATCTCATTTAGTCAGTATTACTGCTTTTTGCGTTCTCAAAACACTTAAACGCAGAAACCTCATCTTTTTTTATATTTGATTTCACACAAAAAATACCTTTGCTGCCTGAAACATGGAGAGAAATAAAATCTACCCATGTTGTTCATGTTGTTTTGCCATGGCAAGTATACAGTGCGTATCAAAAAAAAACGCAACAGATTGTTGTCTTGAAAAAGCACAAAACCAGTGATAACAGCATTGATTTCATTCAATGCACCATAAAGCCATGTGTCTCCTCTTTACAATGATATATCATTCATTGATATTTGTCCATTGTTGGGCGAGTAATCATTCCATTTGCAAAGTGCGCCAAAATTAGCTTCGGGCCAAGTTATAAACATTGCAAAAGTCAGTGTGCGGAGCCCGATGCAATATTGGATGAAACATAAAACCAATGCTGACTGCATCCTTTTAATTCAATGTACCAAAAAGCCAAATTACACCTCTTTGCAATGGAAGATCATTCATTCACAGGGAGTCATCTCTGGCCGAATAATCATTAATTTTGCAAAGTGGGTCAAAATTCAGCTCGGACCCAAATTTAAAACATTGCAAAAGTCAGTACAAGGGGCATAGGGGCTATTGGAAGAAGGTGTGGCAGGTATGGCATAGACAGTTAAATGTTCATACTCATACTCTTGCAAGAATACATCCTATACCCCTCCAAATTGCCGTGCCACTTCCTTGCACATAAAGATGCGCTCATCTGTCCACGTCATGCATGGTTCAGCCCTGAATCATGTGTGGGTTAAAGCAAAGAAAAGCAGCCCATGGGCAAATCTTTCTCGAGGTTTTGCAATATCTGGTGTAGGAATTATGAGCACAGATGCTCCCGAGATAGCTCCAAACGAAAAAGTCACAACAATTCAAGTCAGGGGAACTTCCATTGGCACTTAGCCCTTGCGCTGATTTTTTCAATATCTAAAACTTGGTGCACAGCCGATTTTGACCCACTGTGCAAATGGAAGGATTTCTCACCCAATCATTACCTCATGTGAATGAATGACACATCATTGCAAAGAGGAGAGACATTGCTTTATGGTACATTAAATGAAATTGATGTAGTCGTCACTATTTTTGTGATTTTACGAGATAACTACTTGTTGCATTTTTTTATACGCCCTGTATTTTGTTTTCACTCCATATATGGATCTTACAGACCTAAAAGTACATCAAAATGCCAATCAATGTTTCTGCAAATGACATATCTTCTAGTAAAAAGAAAGCCAAAAGATATTAACCAGAGGCAAAAGTGTAAGTACCAAAAAATAGGGGCAAATCCATGATGAACCTATCCACATAACTACCTCCTACTTTGTATATTGGGGCACAAATGACTTTCGATAATTACTTTGATTCATTGAGGACACAAAAAATCAAAGCAAGTATTCAATTGTTCTGGTGCATTTAAGGTGACCTAAACCTGAGGCGAGAATGATACATACATTTCAGAAATTACACTTTCTTAATAAACTTCCCGATAAGTAGCACCAACGTGGGGCCGCATGGTGAGTTCATATATTGTAAAAAATGTGATATTCTAATGATAAAAAATTGACTTCTCTTAAACAAGGCAAATGTGTAAATTACCAGAATGGCTCCATCAAATGGATATGAGTATAATTCAGAAGACAAACAGACAAGTGGACAGACAAGTGACCAATTCCATAGGCTAACCATGTGAGCTAAAAAGGTGTTAAGACTATTTTGCATCGTAAAAAGAATTCTATAAACATATTCTACATTCTTTGAGATGAAGCAAATGTCATTTATGTGATCTGGCATGTGAGATGGAAATATCACCCACATTATAAATATCTTGGCATTAAAATACAAATGGGATCTATTTTAAGTGGCATCAAATGGGCTCACCAAGACCAAACCATACTTAGTACAAAACCAATAACTTGCATATCATCAAGGTTTGTATTGCATTGCATATGTTAATAAAACACTAACTACATAATATACATGTCAACTACAGATTAAAAACTTGTTTACAAAATGGGTGTACAAAATCATCTCAATATTCACACAGAGTACAGTAGGCATATGTTAGTTATTAAATTGTGAATGGAAGGAAACAATTCTCAAAATCAGCAGGCCCGTAGCCAGGGGGGGGGGTTCAATCAAATCCCTCCCCCCCCCCGCCTGGCCAAAAAATCTTTCAAAATTATGCAGTTTTTCACCATTCTATCATTCTGAGCACTTTTTAAGTGATTTTGGCCATTTTTGGACCAAAATTGTCACAAGTGAACCCCTCCTGAATTTTTTCAAAAAAGTGGACCCCCTTGGCAAATCCTGGCTACGGGCCTGATCAGATACTGTAACCAATGTTGTCTCATGCACTTTTCATAACTGAATCTCTGATCTGCCTTAGCCAACCAGAGGCTGGCCTTAAAAAAAACCCTATCAGTTAGCATGGCTCTCCTCTTCTTAGAGTTTGCTCTAATTGGTGGCAAAGAACTCGGGGTAGAAACTCAAATATGGTTGCGTTTGGAGAAGCGTCATCTATATTGAAGACAAAAGCTTCTGTCACGATCTATATGTGAGATAAATTAACGATGTATACATTTGAATTGATTACTTTGATACACAAACCACCTCCCAATGGCCTTTATTTATAACTAAAATAAATAATGAATTTAATACATTTTAAAATAAACAGACAGTGCTGAATAAATAAAATACAATATAGTACATGTATTAAATAATACAGAAATGTTTTAACGACACTACTATGGTAATCTGAACTATTGTTTTGTATTTTTTTGTTCTATTTTTATATAATTCAACTAAATTAGTGTTTGGTGACATCAAAGTCTACAAGGCATTAACTGGCAAAATGTCACCACCTGTCATTTGTTACAGATGCCAAATGCCAAACACCAACTGCTGAACACCAAATGCCACCTACAAAAAGTGGACTATAAAAGACTATAACAATATGTAACCACTTGTGGTGGTGACATAAAAATGTTGAGGCGAAGTCTTAACTATGAAATACTTTGGATGAGAAATCATATGTGTAAAATATATATAATGGAAACTCTGATGTTGACGTTATGTGCAAGCAGATCAAACCACATCAGGTCATCCTTAAAATTACTGCATTATTCTGATTGCACTATCATACATCATCTTGATCTAAAAACACAACTACAAAATAATTACTAGTCTCCACTATTTCCCTACTTTAATACACACATATATAAGCATTGTAAATTCATATATGATAAAATAACTACAATTTAGTTCAAGACGCATGAGTATGAGGTCCTTGCGTTTGTTCATCTGTGTATTGTGACGCAAGTCACGTACAGCAATTATAATTGATCCTTTATGTAATTATTGTAAATTACACTACAATTAACATGACATCATATCATAATAATTATACACTATACATGATATAATACAATACAAGATTTCAGCGAGATGGGCAACGTCGAGGAATAGATCAGAAATTACATGTAAAGACAAGAGATGACTTGAGGGAAACTTTATAGAATATTGCCACAATTCTGGACAATGTCGAAATCTAAATTATAGAATATAGTCTAAACCAAAATACACATTCATAAATTTTTTTAACTCATAAAATAATTGTCCAATATCAACATTCAAAAAGCAAATATTTTTTCATACTTGTGACTTTTTTGTTACATTTATCCACACAAGAAATGTTTTTGATGAAAGGAAATTGGAAAGTGTGGTTTAAATGCAACTGAAGCTTGGTAGCCATTTTTGATCAGTGTAGTATAGAACTGGAGTATTTCCTCAAGGTTTCCCATGAAACATGCCTTTGCAATTTGAACGGCCAGGAAAACTGATTACCTTAATTCTTCACTATTTTTTCAGGTGATATCCAGAGGTTTGAACCATGCCATCTATATATATGTGTCATAAAGGAAACATTCAGGGTATACTATATATTACAGTGCTTAGCAATGAAGGGCTTTAACTTGATTTTTAATCACATGCTTATTTTTACATTCTGACTACAGTTAATTAACAGCATATTATCACAATACACTACCGAATAAATTAGCTATATATTATAAATAAAGTACATAAGTTATATCCACCAATGTGCATGAATGACAGTTTCCCCAATATTATTTCAAATTGTAATATTTTGACACAATGATTTTAACTTCCGGCAATTGTACCAGATACAAACACTAACGCAAGTCACAACAACAAATTAACATGACAAAATGACACCACCTAGTTGCTCACAATATTATGAGTTCAATCTTAAGTCAGATTTGAATTTCTGAAAACTTGTAGGTGATTTTGAAAAAAAAATTGTTCAATTTGAAGCAAGTTGAAAAAATACCTTTTTTGACCTTGAGAAGGTCATTGAAGGTCAAATCTCAAATCTAAAGTCAGATTTGAACTTCTAAGATCTTGTAGATGAATTTGAAAAAATGGTCAATTTGAAGCAAGTTGAAAGAAAACCTTTTTGTTGACCTTGAGAAGGTCATTGAAGGTCAAATCTTAAATATAAAGTCAGATTTGAGCTTCTGACAACTTGTAGATGATTTTGAAAACAATTGAAGTTGGTGGTGGTGACATAAAAATTGTGGCTGTTACAATATGTCACTACTTCATAGAGTGGTCATAAACATAAAGGCAAAAATACAAGCTTGCTAAAGTGTGTCTAATTGAGATCCATGGTATATATATGAAATACAACACAAATATCAGAAGAGAAGGTATAAAATATCTACCATTTGAGTAAATCTGCAAAAACCTGGATATTTTAGTTTGTAAAACATGTAAAATTAAGTTTGGAAAACAACAGTTTGCCATTCCAGTGGTGTGTACATACATAGCACCTATAACCTGAATTGTAATGACATTGTCACATCATCAAAAGAGGTTTTCTTCAGTTGATGCAATTCCTTGCATTTGGGGAAGGTACACATAAATCACAATCAATTTGAATTAAATTAATGTGTGCCCATTTTGCTTCAAAGAAACTTTAAATTAGCCAAACATGATAGCCGTAAGATTTTAAAATCGCAAAAACACGAAATATAAAAGAGTTGAAAATTAGTATTACATTTAATTGCACTGTTGCAGGCTATAACAAACTATCATGTTTGGAATAAGCTGAAAAATTAGGATGAAAACGGCAAGAAAAAATGACGAATGATCTACTGGTAGGTTCTACATCAGATCTTTTCTGTAAAAAAGCTTATATCAAAAGCATTTTAATTTGTTTCATCTAAAATACAAAACCAAAAGAGTGTTCAGTGATATTTCAATCAATTTCCACAAATATCGAATCCATGTGTTTTAGTGGAAGCATCACCAAGGTTACACACTCTAGCATATTTTCAAATTCATATCACATTCACAACTTAGTTTTTTAACTTTGAATAACATCAAAATTGTCAATTGTTGGTCAGTCTAACATGTTTCATTTTAAGCATGCCCTACAAACAATATTAAACCAGCTGAAGAGAGTGGGATGATGATTTTTCGTTATATCACACATCCATTTTAATTATTCAAATTAATATCACTTGTTCAGTCATGGAATACGTCACTGGATTTATCACCCTATTATTCATAAAATCCATAATTGTATAATTATTTGCTGCTCCATTGTATCTATCACTAGCTCCCTCGCTGTATTCAACCATAGGCTGCATGTATATAAGCTAATAGCCTGATTTTGTTTTCAGTCCTCAAATTAATAATAATCACAACTGTGTCTAAATAATAACTTAAATAAATATAAATGATGCTTGTCTCTGTTGATCTCAAGGTTCAACCACATATTAGTAGCAAGCCCCTTTAGCTAATATCTTCATTGTAAATATATATATATGTTCATTGGATTCAGTATTGTGCTTATTGTGGCCAACATTTACTGCAATCACACAAACTCAAACCCTTCATCCCCATCGGCTTCAATCTCTTGATGTTCTGTGCTATGTAGTTGTTTGAGGATGCCACCTGCTAGTTCTTTGATAGCCTCACTATGGTGAGAGACCAGGATGTCATCTAGTTGCTCAAGCATATGGCTCTGACTGTACACTGTACGGAAATGGTCATCTAAATTAAAAAATAATTGATTACATGTAAAAAGCTTGATGATAGCAAAATATGTTTAGAATATCTCATATCTGGAATTTTGTTTAAATATCAAACTACTGCTTAACCGTTCAGTGATTTAAAAAATGTACTGGGTGAATAAGTTTTTGATTTTATTTTTTTATTCTAAAATTATAAAAGCATTTGTCAAAATTCTTAAAATGCAGAGATCGATTGGTGTGGTTTTGTGAAGGGCAAGCACAAAGGGCCTGACAAATTGAGAACTCTCAAACCATATATTATCATTCTTACCTTTTATCAGCTGTTGAACAGTCCAAAGGGTAATATGTACATAACTTGGTTGAGGGTTGTTCAAAAACTTTTCTATGTACAAAAACAGAGCAGGAATGTTTCTCTCTAGTAAGTCTTCGGGTATCCCTTTAAATAAATCATTGTTTTTAGCATTAAGTATCTAATTTGCCATTGTAAAACACTCCAGGTGAAATGAATTTAATTTTTTTTCATTCAATTAATAAAATTAATAAAAAACTGTTATCAACTGTTACTTCTCGGTTGGACAAATTGTCGACAGCCAATGTGAACCATAAAAAGACAAATGTTTTACAGATAATGATTTTATTCAGTGAACCCTACAAATGCACACAACTGGAGGTTGTCTGGTATCCCTCCACCAAAAGTAGTGCAAATATGCAAATCAATGGTGTAGTGATACCAACTATGGCCATGGATATGAGTATACCTAGTACTGCTAATTGTCCTATAGCCCCTGCACTGTTGTATTGGACCTCTGGTTCCTGACTGGATGAGGCGAGATAGACCATCTTACTGAACAGCTTGCCTTGGCTGAATCCCATTGTACGCTCCTTAGCTACTTCTGCAAAATGTGAAAATTATGTGTTTATTGGATTCTAAAATTATAATATAAGTTACAAAACAAGGCATTAACATGACAAAATGTCACCACCTAGTTGCTCACAATATAATGAGTTCAAACCTAAGTCAGATTTGAATTTCTGAGAACTTGTAAAGTCAAAGGACGATTCTCGGTTTGGAGAACGAAGTTCATCAATCTAAATGAGCATTATCCCTGCTTCGGACAAATTTGATTTTTGTACATAACATAGATTTGAATGTCTTCTTTTGAATAGTCATAATTTAATTTGGGTAATATTTCTAGATTTTTCGCAAAAAAATATTAGCGCAATACACTGATGAACTTCTTTCCCCAAATCGAGACTTGTATTTTATTGAATCGGTCAAATTGAGCGTTATCCCTGCTTCAGACCAATTTGTTATTTTTACATCTAGTAGATTTAAATGTCCTCTTTTGAATATTCATAGTTCAATTTGGGTAATATTTCTATATTTTTCATGAAAAAAATTATGAGCCCAGGAGACTGTTCTCCAAACCGAGAATCGTCCTTTGAACTTCTGAAAAGATGTAGATGATTTTGAAAAAAAAATTTGGTCAATTTGAAGCAAGTTGAAAACAGACCTTTTTTACCTTTTTTTACCTTCTCAAAGGTCAAATGTCAAATCTAAAGTCAGATTTGAATTTCTGAGAACATGTAGATGATTTTGAAAAAAAAAATTAGTCAATTTGAAGCAAGTTGAAAAAAGACCTTTTTGACCTTTTTTGACCTTGAGAAGGTCATTGAAGGTCAAATTTCAAATCTAAAGTCATATTTGAATTTCTGAGAACATGTAGATGATTTTGAAAAAAAATTTAGTCAATTTGAAGCAAGATGAAAAAATACCTTTTTGACCTTTTTTGACATTGAGAAGGTCATTGAAGGTCAAATGTCAAATCTAAAGTCAGATTTCAATTTCTGAGAACATGTAGATGATTTTGAAAAAAAAATTTAGTCAATTTGAAGCAAGTTGAAAAAAGACCTTTTTGACCTTTTTTGACTTTGAGAAGGTCATTGAAGGTCAAATGTCAAATCTTAAGTCAAATCTAAAGTCAGATTTTAATTTCTGAGAACACGTAGATGATTTTGAAAATTTTTTTTAGTCAATTTGAAGCAAGTTGAAAACAGACCTTTTTGACCTTTTTTGACCTTGAGAAGGTCATTGAAGGTCAAATGTCAAATCTTGAGTCAAATCTTAAGTCAGATTTGAATTTCTGAGAACACGTAGATGATTTTGAAAAAAAAATTTAGTCAATTTGAAGCAAGTTGAAAAAAGACCTTTTTGACCTTTTTTGACTATGAGAAGGTCATTGAAGGTGAAATGTCAAATCTTAAGTCAAATCTAAAGTCAGATTTGAATTTCTGAGAACACGTAGATGATTTTGAAAAAAAAATTTAGTCAATTTGAAGCAAGTTGAAAACAGACCTTTTTGACCTTTTTTGACCTTGAGAAGGTCATTGAAGGTCAAATGTCAAATCTTGAGTCAAATCTTAAGTCAGATTTGAATTTCTGAGAACACGTAGATGATTTTGAAAAAAAAATTTAGTCAATTTGAAGCAAGTTGAAAAAAGACCTTTTTGACCTTTTTTGACTATGAGAAGGTCATTGAAGGTGAAATGTCAAATCTTAAGTCAAATCTAAAGTCAGATTTGAATTTCTGAGAACACGTAGATGATTTTGAAAAAAAAATTTAGTCAATTTGAAGCAAGTTGAAAAAAGACCTTTTTGACCTTTTTTGACTATGAGAAGGTCATTGAAGGTGAAATGTCAAATCTTAAGTCAAATCTAAAGTCAGATTTGAATTTCTGAGAACACGTAGATGATTTTGAAAATTTTTTTTAATCAATTTGAAGCAAGTTGAAAACAGACCTTTTTGACCTTTTTTGACCTTGAGAAGGTCATTGAAGGTCAAATGTCAAATCTTAAGTCAAATCTTAAGTCAGATTTGAATTTCTGAGAACACGTAGATGATTTTGAAAAAAAAATTTAGTCAATTTGAAGCAAGTTGAAAACAGACCTTTTTGACCTTTTTGACCTTGAGAAGGTCATTGAAGGTCAAATGTCAAATCTTAAGTCAGATTTGAATTTCTGAGAACACGTAGATGATTTTGAAAAAAAAATTTAGTCAATTTGAAGCAAGTTGAAAACAGACCTTTTTGACCTTTTTTGACCTTGAGAAGGTCATTGAAGGTCAAATGTCAAATCTAAAGTCAGATTTGAAGGTCAAATGTCAAATCTAAAGTCAGATTTGAATTTCTGAGAACATGTAGATGATTTTGAAAAAAAATTTAGTCAATGTGAAGCGAGTTGAAAAAAGACCTTTTTGACCTTGAGAAAGTCATTGAAGGTCAAATGTCAAATCTAAAGTCAGATTTGAACTTCCGAGAACATGTAGATGATTTAGAAAAAAATTGAAGTCAGTCTAAACAGTATTTGTTAAGTTATAGGAAGTTGTAAGAAATTGTTACAGACGCCGGACGCCAACCGCCGGACGCCAACCACCAACCGCCGTCGCAAAAAAAACGGAGACCATAACAATATGTCTTAGAAATGAATATCAAACTTAAGCTATTGTTCTAAAATGCATGCTAAGCCTTATGAATGTTATTAGAAATTAATACCAATTTTATTATGCATCGAACTTTTAGAATTGAATAAAATTAAGACACACCTTCATCGTTAAGTACCACAAGGGCAGCAGTACACTCTGTGAGTACACGTACATCATGCCTGGGGTCAAGTATCACAGCACCCAGTGCCTCAATGCATCCCTTTACTACTAGAGCATGGATGTTCTCCCCTGCTCCAAGATTACGGATCGTACCTGGAAAATCAACATTGTCATACAGGTATGTATGAGTGTGGGGTTTCTTGAAAGCCCATGGTATGAAGATGGATTAAAACATGTTTCTCAAACATGTGAAATGTGGACAAAAAGGACAAAAATAAGTAACTCTCAAGTTATACCTGATTAAACATAGGTAGCCACTTGAATTCTCAAGTGAATTTATTAGAACTTATCAATGCTCTTATTTCATTCCAATGCATCTAATGGGGCTTCATTTCTATTGAAAGGACAGAGTGCATATCATATTATTGTCATGTTACTTTCACTTTAAATTGGCTATTGAATAGATTCATGAATTTTTCATTTCATTTAATAAAATTGTTTCAATTAAGAAAATAAATGAGAAAAAAATCAAAACTAGAAAACAGCAACTCAACAGAGTAGTAAATCCCACCAAACAAAAATGTTTTGATAAATAGTGGCCATATTAAAAATTCCTTCTCGCCCCGAACTCCCCTGTCGCTAGGTATCAGCATATAAAATTTGAGTTATCAAAGATTACATATTTACAAAAAAATGGCCGCCATTTTAAAATTTAGCAGCTATCTTAAAAACTCTTCTTCAGCAAAGCTCTTTTGTCCTTTGGCAGCATATAAAATTTGAAAAAATCTGTCAACTAGCATTTGAGTTATCAAAAATTAATTTTTTTACAAAAAATGGTGGCCATTTTGAATTGAGTGGCCATATTGAAAACTACTTCTCAAGCAGAGGTCCTATACCCGAACAAACATTAGACAGACGGCATCTTGTAATATATAGATACACTGTCCCACATGTTTTGTCAAAGGGCAACTGAAGCATACAATCTTTCCACAAAGACAGACGGACAAACTCACAGACAGACTCCGTTCGATGGAATAATAAGTGAAAAGATTGGAAGAGTGTGGAAGAAAAACTGGCATCATAAAACATGTGTAATGTTTTACAGGTTCTATTATCTTTTAATATTTCATTTCACAAAAGAAGCTCCACAAATGGCTGTTCCATTGTGTTAACTTACCCGCAGCATGGCACTGGGCCTCAGGATTGGAGAAATCTTTCAAAGTTTTACACAGCTCCACAACAAATGTTTCAGATATAATAGGACCCTGGAATACAATACAACCAACATGATTGAAGAAATAACGAATTTGAAAACAATAAAAAAAATAGCAAAAAACATTGTATTCACACAGACATCCCTGTATTTCATTTTCTGCCATTTTTTTCAAAATCCATTAATGTTTAATCACTATCAAAAAAGAACATGCAAAATAAACATATGTTGTTAACTAGATCACCATGTGATATTTGATAATCCATCGGGACACAACTTAAATCATTTAATATCAAGGTATAAAGTTTATACCGTATTGCCTGGTCAGGAATTGAATATGGGTTTTATATCTTGGTCAATACGATATTTCTATATATATATTGGCACTCGATGTAAAACCCCAATTCAATAACTTTCAGTAAACAACCTATATTCATCAAAATAATCATATTATATTGGTTTCCAGTGAGAAACGGGTAAACACTCTGAACTGTATCAAAATCATACTGAACTACAGGGCATTTGAAATAGTCATCATGATGTAACTCACCTCATTGGCTTTATGTATAGATAAATTACGTAAACAGGCTAAAGCTGCACATAGCGTCTCACCCTCAGATTTACACACTGTGTCGTGTAATACCTGAAGACCCCTTAGCTGAGTTATAAGAATCTGATTGTCTCCGTCTGATGCGAGATTCCTCAAAGCCAAACATGACTGACAAATCACCTGTAAAAAAAGATGAAATTGTATTACTTCAAAATTGTCGACAATTATCAACTATTTATTTTAATAAAATATTGTAAAGAAATTTGCCTCATACTGCTGTCCCGAACTCCAATTTCGCTATTCGTCTAGGAAAAAAAAAGGTTTGTCAGTATTATTTTGTAACAGACAGGGGCCTAAAACAAAACTACAGAAATAGTACTGGTGCACACAGCTAAGCTTATGTTCCACAAAAAGTAACCCAGTAGCCTCCCTTGGCCCCCAGAAAAGCAATATACATGTAGATGTAGGGATGTGAGAAGGGAGTCTCAGGTACCTGAACAAGAAACACTATAACCCACATTGGTCGCAATTAAGCGTATGGCCCCCTGTGGCCTCTGCAAGAAATATGGGATCACATGGTCTACAGGGCTATGGATGTGATACTGGAGTCCTAAGCTAATCCAAGGCTACAAGAAGTAATGTGCCAGGGCCACAAGACTATTTTGGTGGTCACAAGTCTGCCCCTTGGTAGGAGGGGAGATGGGGCTCAGTCACCTGAACAAGAGAACTATAAAGCACAGGGCTGTCAGTTAAACTGTTGGCCACGATTGGCTTCTGCAAGGAGCAATATGGGCAATATATCTGTCCTTAGTAGATAATATTATAATATTGGCCTCACGATAATCCCAATATCCTTAACCTCACATAGGATAATCTTTGTGTAATTATCATCAATTTTAGAAGTACAGTAAAACTTGTGAATAGTGAACATTTTTTGCCAAGAAAGAAGGTTCAATGTTGGTAAGTGTAAGTGTTCAATACAGAGGGGGTAATTTATACAGAAATCAGTGGCGTATGTGCGAAGGAAGGGTGTCTACTAGAGACAGGTGTTCACCAGAGAGAGGTGTTCACTAAGACAGGTTTTACTGTACAATTGACACTTAATACAATTGTAAATAAAAGTATATATTCAATTGTGATAATATTAGGAAACTACACTGATTTTGACCATTCCTGAAATTTTCATCAATTGGAGTATATTGATAACCATTCATTTCATGAAATGTAACTTTACATTGGGTGGATTGCCAATCACAGTGGCATTATAGGCCAAGCTTTGACATTACATAGGATAAAATTCAATTAAGAACAGTTCTCCTAACTATATAGCAAAGCCTCTATTGGGCTTATTTTGCTGTCCTCAGGTGCACTTTCCAACTGATGAATTTTAAAATTTTTACCATTGATGTCTGGAGTATAAATTGGGTTTTGGATATTCTTTATCAGACACTGCAGTAATACAACTGACATGACTGAGACGTCAAAACTAGCTTACTTTTGTTTTCAGAAATATTTTAAAATGTTGTGTTTGTATTGCGTTTTAAGTGTCAAAATATGTGAGATTGTGGTGTTCAGGAATCAAACCAAAATACAGTAATTTTGTTCCGTGTCTATACTGAGATCCTAGCCTAGTCTGGGAATAAGAACAAATCTGAGTATCAATAACAAACTCTAGCTATCAACCCTTTAAGAAATGACAAACTCTAGCTATCAACCCTTTAAGAAATGACAAACTCTAGCTATCATCCCTTTAAGAAATGACAAACTCTAGCTATCAACCCTTTAAGAAATGACAAACTCTAGCTATTAACCCTTTAAGAAATGACAAACTCTAGCTATCAACACTTTAAGAAATGACAAACTCTAGCTATCAACTCTTTAAGAAATGAAAAAAAATATTACCCTGATATCATCTGAGTCTCGTAACAAGGTGAGTAGCTGCTTTATGACATCACACTGGCCTACAGCGACCATCATGGCACGATGTTTGTCACGTACAGCAAGGTTACTAAGAGCTGCTGCACAATAATACTGCACATCTATATCTGAAGAATGAAGGGTCTCAACAAGGACAGGGATCACTCCTTTTTCCACCAGCTTTTCCCTTGTCATATCTGGAAAACATTAACTAGATTATTAGTCATGCTTCAAGTCCTCGGGGACCCCTACACAATCCAATTCCAAAACAGGAGGGGAAGTAGATATGTGACAGATGCAGAAAAACTTAGTCATCAATCACAGAATCTCTGAGAATTAATCATTTAAATCCAACATTCTTTTTCTGACCAAAAACATGGGCACCAACAATACATTTCATGGTTTACTAAATCTCATTGTACTGTATATTGTATAATTTCAAGTGGAGCATATTTAGATAAGTTACAAGTGACCATTCTATCAGGATCATCTATTCTAGGGTATTGCATCTAGTCTATGGGTATGTATGTATGTACATTTTCTAAATTTATTGCAATAAAAAAAATCAAAAAAATCTAGTCTATGGGTACAACAATGTTCTGGAGTATGTGGGTGTATAGGATAGGCTCCTACCTAAGTGTGTAAGATTAAGTAGAGCTCCAGTTGCATTGCGTTGTACTCTGATGTCTTTTGACCTGGCAAGGTTCAGTAAAGGTTTCACTCCTCCAGCGAGAACTATGTCATGTTTGTGTTTATCTATAATACAAAACACACAAAAATTTGTCTCCAATCTTTAGAAACTTAGAAATGAGCATCTGAAAGATAATTGTAAGTGGTGATTTGGGTGTTACCTCAAATATCTCAAAATTGAAGTATAAAATGTCTAGTCCCTGAAAGGCTAGAAAAGACAGAAAAACTTTTTGAACTTGATAAAAAAATTACCCAAAAGTCTATCAAAGATGACTTTGAGAACTTTATAGTAGATCACTGAAATATAGCTTGAAGTAAGAGATATAAAGAAAAGTGAAGAAAGAATTATCTTGCCATTAATAACAAGAAACACATGGAGTATTTTTTTGAAAAACAGACCTTGATTGTTGTGACGCAAGTCCTTTTTAAATACATGTATAACGGTAATTTCCTGTTGTAGAGAGCATCATCAGTAATGAAATATAGATCTCACCTTGTATAAATACAGGAAATGTTTTACTTGGGCAATAATCAGATATGAATCACTTAATGTCTAGTCTTTTATGTATCATTTTGCGTCATTTCAAAAATTAAATAGGTGGATAATAGGAAGATAATAGTATCCAGGAGGGACCTAAATTACATAACTTACCACTTGTAGTAAGAGCAGTTATACATCCACATACGTTGCACTGTACCTCCAGTGAATTAGAGTACATCAGCTTCACCAGAGGTCTGATAGCACCTGCCTTCATAATAGACATTTTGTTACTCTCTGCAAAAATAAGCTTTCAAACTTCAATTTCAATTTATTCATAAACAACAGAAGTACATTATATAAGTGAATGAATGACACATAAAAATAGCATATGGAACTTGGAGATTTAAAATAAATACAATGATGACACGTAAACTCAAGAAATATATTTATTTTATATTTTAATTCCCTGTTTCAGATGTGTTTCTAATCACAACCAAAATGATTTTAGAATCTCAGAGCTGCCATGTCTAAATTTCAAATTCATTTCTTTAACCACTCAGAATTGCCTGAAATCCTTTCATCTTTAGTGCAGCATTTAGATGATCCTTTTTACAAGAGTTCATTTTCTCTCTAAAGAATGGGTATCGATATGGCGAACTTTTTGAACACACGTTTCTCTTAAACCAGTCATCAAAAATTTCTGAAAATCTTACAAATTGTCAATTTAATGGCCATCTTTTGAATGGTAACAATATAATTTGAAATAGATATAATATACTTTCATCTATATTGTTTAAAAAACACATCCAACACTTGTTTTGTTCGTGGTATCATGTTTCCAGAGTAAAATGAAACATCTTTCCGAACCTCATTGGAACAAAACGACATAAACACAATGTGTTTAAATCTCTCAATATTGTAATTGTACAAAGGAAATTTTGGTTGATTTTAAAAAAGTATCTTGTTAATGAAATAAAAGGTTTTTCTTGATTTTTATTTATTTTTGGGGGATTTTGTTTTAATTTTTTGAATACTTTTTTAAAATCAACCAAAAATTCCTTTGTATAACTTAAATATTGAGAGGTCTAAAAACATGTTGTATATGCTATTTTGTTTCAACAAGGTTCGGAAAGACATTTTATTTCATTCTCAAGAATTGGTAGAAAGGAGCAAAAACATTTGCACTAAAAAAAACAAAAAATGTTAATAAAAACAGTTATATAAAATATTTCTAAATAATTTTCGCATTAAATTGTTGTCAATCAGTCAACATTACATAAAATACCATGTTTTTTTACAGAATGTTTTCAATGATTGGTTTAAGAGAAAAACATTGTTGAATTCAGTTCTCCATATCAATACCTATCCTTTGAGAAAAACACTAGCCCATTAAGATTATGTCATGAGGAAATCATGCCACTATGATTTCTACCTAATTATCATATATGTAATTTTACAATCAAACTCCCACGAAAGCTAAATTTGGGATCATTGAGACTCATCACCATAGAAACAGTATAATCACCTAAGTGAATGAAGTAAGAGAAAAAGTAAGAGAGTGTAGTGAGGCTATCCAAAGGGGACTTCAGTGTTGCAGCTTGAACATGAACATGAAATATTCTCACCTGGGCCATAGACAGCCAGGTTGCTCATAGCAAGGGATGCTGCCCTCTGGACCTGTATATCCCTGGACTGCAGGAGAACCACTAAGGGCTCCAAAATCACCTCAGACACTGGCGTGGTCACTGCAACCAGAAAACAAACTTCAAAATTAGTCTTGGCTCATCTTCACTTTTGAGAGAAATAATGAAGTTGAAAATATAGTACTATGTATGTTAATATTTGTATGGTACTTTATGAAATTATTAATTCATTTATTACAAATGTACAGTAAAACATGTCTTATCACATTCACATTCATTTATTACATATGTACAGTAAAACATGTCTTATCACATTCACATTCATTTATTACATATGTACAGTAAAACATGTCTAATCGGACTAGCGAGCTAGATTTGGATAAGAACTAGATGAGAGAGGTGTTTAGAAATGCAGGTTTTACTGTAATACAATTAATAGTACAATAACGTCAGAAATGACGTTATTAGTATTATTACCACCATTAATGACCAGGACTGAAACAGCAAGAAAATCTTACGCACTGAACGATATCTAATTTCCCGGGGAAAATTGCCAGTCGTTAAATGCATTCTTGACCGGCTATATTTGCCTGCCATTATGACGTCACATATTGCTCAGGTCGATAGAGTAAAAAAATGAATGCCTTCTAAACTAGCACTAAAATCCCTAGAACTGGCTCGGCAAGGTGGTAATAATGTTTTTTCCAGAGTGGCCTTGCCTGTATGTTGTAATCTAATTAAAATTATATTCCCTAGGACCTGAAACATTTTTATTCAGTCACGTAACTTTATTAAAATTGATTTATACAAATAGATGATTCATTGATGAATCATACAAGTATCAAAACAAGTACAGTATAATAACATCTTACAAATAATTGAATTTTCTCTTACATGACATCTTTCTTACAAAATTTTTGTTTGTGCAATGTGAAATTTTGTTTACTTCTGATAATGTTGGATCGATTAATTTACATAAATTATTTATTGACGTAAATATGAGACTGGGAAGTTTAATGTAAACATGTTATTGTGAGTGGAGACTAATACAAATGACCGGGTGATATTTTTAAAATAATATGAGTTCAAATGATTGAGTGATGTTTTTAAATATTGTAAATTAAAATGACTGGTTGACAATGGACCACAAAGATATGGGACCATCTCAAACAATATTATGGCTTGATACCTATGATGCCATTAATTACCTAAATATCTGCTTTGAATGATATCAAGTTTTATTTATATTCGTTTGAGTGTAACGAATTAGAATATAAATTATTTCTACATATTACTACAGAGTGTAGCTTTAAGCGTTACGAAAATCGAACGCTATTTTCGAATGCGAGTAGAATATGAGTGAGTGAATAGGTGTGTAGTGTTTAGGAGAGACGAAATCATTCTGGCTACGTCATCTATACAGTGAACACCTTATCCATATTACACGTGGACATTACACAATGGACCCAATAGACATGAGTCAACCAGCATCACTACAAAGTGTTAGCACCTTGCTTACCCAAGAATTTGGGAAATTCCGAAAGCATTTGCGAGAAGAAACAGAGGAAAACAACGCTAAATTGCTAAAAAGGATGAAAACAGACGAAGAAAACAGTACACCATACGTGTTCAAGAAAAGGGCAACAAAATTCAACACGAGTTTAATCTTAAGGTGAAAGCCTGCTTCCAGACTACTACAGACGCACTAGAGCGCGCGAGCGAAGCTGACCCCGACAAAGTGAACGATTTATTGCAAGAGGCTCACGACTCGGCTATGAAAGGTATTGATTTTCTTACATATAGAAATAAGTTGGTAAAACTAGCTGATACATCCGACACAGGATGGAAAACTGTAGTTGAATACGATAAAAAGCCATTGGCTAATGACAGTGACGATGATAAACGGATAAGAACAGCCGATCAAGATGCAGTACGCAAAATGAGATCGTCAAATCGATATCGTTCTTCTCGTAGATTTTCTAGTTTCAGAAGTCGCAGAGGCCAATACAGAGATGATCAACAACGCGACAGCTACTTCAAGCAGGGGTACAGTTACGCATTAAATCGTGGATATGGGTACGAAGGACGCTATTATCCACGTGGAGCAAGCAAGTTCAGACCAGGTGGTTGCTGGGCGTGCGGCGAAATCGGGCACTGGGCAGACACGTGTACCAAAAAGAACCAAACAGAATCCAGTCGTTAGTCGTAGCACAGTAGAAAAGTTAAGTACAAACACTTCTGAAATCTTGAAAGACCTGGGAAACAAAATTCATGTAAAGGGTAATTTAAAGAGGCATGCACAGTTTTGGTCACATATAAATGCAAACAGTTACGTTTTAGACATCGTAAAAAACGGTTATAAAATTCCTTTTAGAGAAATTCCGACAAAAGCGTTTTTTGAAAAACAATAGGTCATCTCTAGAAAACACAGAATTCGTGGTAAAAGCTATTCAAGAATTAGAATTACTGGGGTGTGTAAAGGAAGTTCAAGAAAGACCATGGGTCGTTAATCCATTAACAGTAGCAATCAATTCGAAGGGGAAGAAACGTTTAGTTTTAGACATGAGGCACACAAATGATTACATTTCCTTAGACAAATGCAAATACGAAGATTTATCAACCGCAAAAAATTATTTGAAACAAGGCAAAAAGTTAATATCGTTTGATATCACTGCGGGATATCATCACATTGATATTTGCGAAGTACATCAAACCTTCCTGGGCTTTTCACAGTACTGCCATTTGGTATTTCAACGGGAGGTCTCGTTTTCACAAAATTGATGAAAAGTTTGGTTTCACACTGGAGATCATTGGGGCTTCACATTGTAGTATTTCTTGACGATGGCCTATGTGTATCAGAAAACACAGAACAGTCTAGAGCAAACGCATTTCGCATTCAAGCAGACCTAAAACATGCTGGGTACATAATCAATGAAAAGAAATCTGAATTTGAGCCTAAAGATTCATTGATATGGTTAGGGTTCGAGCTAAACATGAATGACGGAAAAATCTATGTCCCCACGGAAAAAATTAGCGATTTGAAATCAAAAATTGTCAATTTAATGAAACAAAGGTTCGTAACCTACAGACAAATAGCCGAAATAGTAGGCAAAATCATGTCTATGATGCATGGTATTGGCAAAATATGTCAACTAATGACACGATGTTTAAGTATGAAAACAGTAGGCATAACAAAATGGGAAAACCGCACAATACTGTCAAATTCAGATATTGCAGAACTAGAATTTTGGTTGAATGAAATCGAAAAGTATAACAGCGTCGCGTTAATCTCATACACCGTGCCAGAGAAATTCGTGTATTCAGATGCATCAAGCACTGCAGCCGCGGGCTATGTGGTAGAACTAGAATCGAACAAACAACAACCTTGTTATCTAAAATGGTCAGAATCAGAAAAGCTCAAAAGTTCAACTTGGCGTGAAATGAAAGCAGTAGAAATTGTTTTGAAATCTTTCAAACATAAAATTGAGGGCAAGTCGGTAAACTGGTCAACAGATAACAAAAATGTTTGTAGCATAACTAGCAAGGGTAGCATGGTCAAAGAATTGCAAACTTTAGCATTGAGCATTTTCCAAGAATGTATCAAATCAAAGATTGACATGGTCTTTCAATGGGTACCTAGAAATCAAAATCAAGAAGCTGATTTAATGAGCAAAATGTTGGATCCAGATGACTGGGAAATACAGCCACATATTTTCAAATTATTGAATAGTAGATACGGACCTCATACAGTCGATCGTTTTGCTAGCATAGAAAATACACACTTAGAGAGGTTCAATTCAAAATTCGCACAACCAAACGCGGAGGCAGTCATTGCTTTTAGTTGTAATTGGGAAAAAGAAAATAACTGGTTGGTACCTCCAATACAAGATATAGGAAGAACGATAAAGCATTTAATAGCATGTAGAGCAATGGGCACATTGATTGTACCGTGTTGGAAATCATCGTATTTTTGGCCACTTATTTCCAAAGCTGGCAATTTCAAAGCTATAGTCGTGGATCACGTTGAATTTGGGAATCCAATGAAAGTGTATAAACGAGGCAGTAATACTATATTTGGATCTGAAAAGCTCAAATCGCATGTTTTAGCACTGCGCTTGAACGGAAAACTATTTTAGAAGATTAGTCCATTACTAGTTTATCAAAAACACCGAAAGTACGAAGACAGCCTTGAATGTATGGTCAAAATAGTATATACAATTTGATTTTTATATTTTTTATATCTTATAGCATCTAGTCATTATATTCCTCTTACAGACAACATTAATATACGTATGCGTGCCACGGCAATCGTGTAAAAAATATTAGGCTTATTTATAGACAACAAACTATATCGGAAATAAAGGCAACTAACGTAAAGTCACCGTAGGCTCATTGTATATGACAAACTTACGCTAAACAGGGATGCCAATTGCCACCATAGGCTTAAAACGTATAACCACCAATTATGTTGCTTACGTTGCTTAAAACTTATATCCACCATAGGCTCAAAACATATAACCATCGTAGGCTCAAAACGTATAGCCACCGTAGGCTCAAAACGTATAGCCACCGTAGGCTCAAAACGTATAGCCACCGTAGGTTGGCTCAAAACGTATAGCCATCGTAGGCTCAAAACGTATAGCCACTGTAGGCTCAAAATGTATAGCCACCGTAGGCTCAAAACGTATAGCCACCGTAGGCTCAAAAACGTACAGCCACTGTAGGCTTAAAACATAGCCACCGTAGGCTTAAAACGTATAGCCACTGTAGGTTTAAGACGTTTAGACACCGGATATTTTTAAAGAACGAATGGTCACTGCAGAATTATAAAACGAATAGCCACTGTATGGTTAAAATATATCAATGACACGGGCAGTAAGTGATAGCAAACGTATCTTTATTAATGATAACATCTTGCTGGAAATATGCTAAGAATACAAATAGACACTGTAAGCCTATACGTCATTCTGCTAATACAGACATCTTTTTCTGTTTTAATTTTTATGTTGTATGTTGTTAAGAGAATAAAGAGTATGGTGAATACAAATGTTTACGTACAAATTTATAGACAACTTGTTTATGTTTCTGTCATATGTAATTGTATATTTTATATCAAATACATGTACACGTTTCATATTATATTTGTCATTTATGAATATCTATTAATTTTAGAAACTGGATGAAAGCTTCGATTGGTTGAATTCTGTGAAAGATATTGAGCACAGAAGAAGCAGAATACCCCCGTTGTTCAAGTAATTGAAATATTATCGATTGTATAAATTTTACAGGTATACTCGGAAGGCTCTCGAAAGACGACGTTGACGGAAAACGAGCAGCAAAAGAAGCTGATAAAAGAATTGTAAAAAATAAATAAGAAATGCATGCATAATTACGTGTTTAAGTTTTCTCAGTAAGAAAAACAATTGTAATATGATCAAAAAACTCCAGGATTGTTGAAACGGGCATGGACAATATGAAAACAATAGAAGACCCACCGTTAAAAATACTATCAAAACAATTGATGGTTGAAATCGTCAACTCCAGTAAAAGCGACAACACAAAGAAAAAATATACATTTTACTTCGAAAAGTGGACTCGATGGTCTAACAATTTCCCCAAAGTCAAGGACATTCCTGCCGAACCAAGGTATATCGCAATATTCTTGTTAGCTCAACTACAAAGTGGATCATCATATCATGTTTTGAACTCTTTACGCTCAAGCATTAGCTGGGCGCACAAATGTGCAGCTTTACCAGATCCATGCTGTTCATCATTAGTCACTAACTTAATAGAGGCAGCAAAACGTCAAACTAGCAAACCTGTTCAGAAAAAAGAACCTATAGACGCGAGTATATTGACTCAATTAGTTAACAACATGTCCAAGGACAATTCACTTAAAAACTTGAGAAACGTCACTCTTTGCGTGTTAGGTTTTGCTGGGTTTTTACGTTATTCCGAATTAGCACACATAACCGTAGGTCCACAATCCAAGACAGATGTTTATCGAAATGGAAATTCAGTTGTGATTGCAAAAACTGGTAACATAACATGCCCATATAATATTTTACAAAGTTATTTAAAGGCTCTTGATCCCAAGAACTTGTTATCAAAAGACCAATATATTTTTAGAGGGTTGTCTCGCAAGAAAGATGGTAGTTTTGTAGCAAGGTCCGCTAACAGAATGTTATCTTACACAACAGTCAGAGAGATTGTGTTAACATCCATCAAGAGTATTGGTCTCAATCCAAAGCTTTTCGGTGTACATTCGTTAAGATCAGGAGGCGCCACAACGGCGGCCAACAGTTCAGTTTTAGAGAGAAATTTTAAACGACATGGTCGTTGGAAGAGTGAGACCGCAAAAGATGGATATGTGAAAGACGATATTATAAGTAGATTGGGAGTTACCATGAAACTTGGTCTATGAATGTTTGTAATGAAATATTCTCAATAAAATGTTTAAAGTTAAGAGTACCGTTGTTAAAGTAACGTGTCAAGAAGCCAACTCTTTCTCTAGATTTTCTGTAACGAGATGCGACCTCTAGCCAAAGCTATTTTTAATATCTAATGACATTATGAGTGTCATGTTAGTTTTAAAAGCGCAACGCTTTGTAATGTATAGAAATATTGTTATGAATGAAATCAAATATTGTTGTATCAAGTTATACAATATACAATTGTTGACCTCTCCAGAGGTCAACCGGCAAAATTGTATATACTTATTAACTTAAAAATGTTGAACGCTAATTGACCAATCAGATGCGAGTATTTAGGACAGAACTGTGATTGGTTGTTTATTTACTTGAGCAATATACCAATTATCAATTTATAGCCAGTTTTGCCAGTTTTCAACCTAAATTGCCCAATTTATGAGGGGCGTAGCAAATTTTGGGCCCTAAATCTATTTGGGGCGTAGGCCAGCCTAAATTTTTCACTTGCTATGACAAGTTACATTATTTGTTTGTGTACTCGGTCTTTATTGCAGTTTAATTATACCTTACAATTCTTCTTCAAATAATCACAAAAACATTCATTTTTATATTGTACTATACAGTTTATGAGCATTATGTATTGAGAGGTTTTAGATATGGTTTATCCTGAGGAAAATGTGTGTATATATTTCCTAAGGAATAAACCCTATATAAAAAATGTACACAACAGAATGATGTATCCCATACCTACGGTTCGATGTACATTCCACCAAAATTCTGAGCGATTTTTCACTTAAATATAAATGGTAAACTGTTAAGTATGGAATTTCTAAAGAAACAAAGTTTTAAAATGAAGATTTTATAATATACTCAGCGATGTACCCTATGAAAATTGCTAGCCTATAATAAATAAAGCGTAAAATGAATATTATGAAATGAAACAAAAAATTTACCCTTAAATTTATCTTTTTTTGATTTTTGGTTTCCTGCAAAATGTAGTATAGTTTTAATTGACACATTCATCACCTTTGTTTTTCATATGTCATGATACTATGCAAATATAAAACTTATAAAACCAACAACGTAAAACTTATGAAATCTACAATACAAAAGTTATGAAACCTACAATGACCTTTGCGAAGTCATCTTCAGAATAAAGTGAATTTCTTGAAAAGAAATGTTTGCAAAACCTGTGCACAATATTGTTTATTGATTTGACAATAAATTATGGTTTCGTAAGATGTTAATGATAACAAACATTAAGGATGGCCTTCCGTTCATATCACTGTTTTAGAATATTGATTTATCTTAGCTTCCAATTAAAAAATGGCATCTTATGAAGCAGCGGAAAATGGAATACCAGATGATTTTAGAAAAAAAAATTAAAAAGTTAATTATTGAATATAAAATTGTAATCACATATGGTATACCCTACCCCTCGTTCTACTGTTGTCCCTATAAACTAGTTTGCTGGAATTATTTTGTTTCAGACACTCTCTAGAGTTTATCTTGGGGGAGTAAAATAAGTACTAAGTGAGTTCACTGCACACTAATAAAGTGGCATCATCTTTCCATTTTCACATGGGGGTAGTGGTATAAACAACAATTTTTTAATATAGTTTGATAGTTAAGCAAAATATGACAAACTGAAATTAAAACTAACAAAAATTATAAGAGGTAGATTGGTCAAAATTTTAAATATGCTACAGTGGCAACATCTATTCTATCTATGAATAAATTACATAATTCATTGCTAAAGTGACATATAAATGAACATCAATGATTCTGATAAATCGACAATTTTTGAGTTGGGGCAATCTGCACAAGGTTTGATTTTTACTTGGATCGGTTTTTCGCACATGTGAACAAATGAAAGTACTTCATTCCCATGATTCAAACAGCTTTTCTGCAATTGGTTCAGTTTTAGTTTATATACCAAACGAAAGCTTATTGTCAAGGAATAGAGAACATACATTGTAGAGAGTTTCATACTGTAATGAATATCAAATTTTGACTTTTTCAGCTTTATCCATTTCAATTTTTGCTCATTCTACCTTATGAAGGCGCTTATTAGAATAGTCTAAATGAGATATTTTTAATGCGCTAATGACAGAGAATATGATAATTGTATTTTTGATATATTGTGTAGTGTAGTGAAGTGTAGTATTGTATAAAATGTGCATACATGCAGTAACAGGTGTACCTCATTTACGAATTACTTACATCTTTCGCCAAACTCTGCAAAGCACAATGCTGCTGACCTCTGTAGCTCTGTATTGTCAGAGTAAGTGAGGATGCAAAGGGCTCTGAACCTCTCCTCATTGATGCTGGGATTGATATTCTCCTCTGAAAGCAAGACAAAGCATCAGCATGCAAGCAGAATGGAATATAAAGCAGTCCCGGGAGCATTTCAGTATTATCACCCATCAATGGTCAATATATTTATCAATAAATTGCAATTATAACTCTGATGAATAACGTTCTTATCATTGTAAAAGGCTATTTAAATCAAAGTGAGACCAATTTTAAACAACAATATGGCATGGTTGAAAATATAACAGTTTATTGACTGCAAATGAGTGATAATACAGCAGTTAAACCTGTAAAATAAATAAAAATCTATATACTCAGAGTATATATAGAGATTATCCTATATGAAGTTCAGGATATTGGGATTATCCCGAGGCTAATATAATATATCTGCCCGAGGGACATAGTAGGTAGATTTATCCTACACTTAGTGTACTAAATGTATAACATTAAAAAATAAATTTGATATTTATTGGCAAAATGAATAACCGGAGGATATCGTGACAATATACTCCGGAAAACCCAATATGCAGAGAATATTGTGACGATATACTCCGCTTGTTGATTTCCCGCCAATTTGACTCTATTTGGCATGAAATTCATTTTGCAATGATATTATACATTAAGTTCACACTCCTTGTAAGTATATGCACTCGTTCGTTTTGCTCTCTCGTGCAGATATCAATATCACCTCGTAGATAAAAATGATATTCCTCAAAATCATAGGATATCCTATAAGTATTATATTGGCCAAGGGAAAATCCCAATATCCTGAAATGACTATAGGATGATCTGTTTATCCCATATCAATCTTGTTCATTTGGTTCACATTGTCTAAGTGGCCACAAACCAAGGAATTATTTTAGAGTATTCATGTCCAGTTTTGTTTTAGTGGCCCTGGACACACGGGATGTCATCGCCTGATTTGGTCAATGTTAGGGAGCAGGTCGTTTTTACAATAAATTTCAATTTTTTCACACAAAATATTTTTTTACTGAAAAACTGCTCATTCGCAGAGAAAATGTACTAGCACATGCAATGACAATGTCAATCACGCTTCTGTACGAAATTCGGCGGAAGTCTTTTATAATCTAATACGAAGTTACTAAAAAAGGCGCGAACGCCCTACACTCAAAATGATCGTTTTTCCATTATAACTTTTTAACGTAATTTAACGAAGGCTTCTAATTATTATCCAAGATAGTCTAAATACCGATTAAAATATTTCTTACTTCAAACAGATACGCCGTCTTTTATTCAATTTTTTAAAAAATAATAAAAAATAACTCTTGTCAATGTTAGGGAGCAGTCAATGTTAGGGAGCAAAATGATTTTATCAGAATATTAAAAATGTAGCAAATGGCCATTTAAAATATGTATGGCATTTATAAACTGAACAATTTTGTTTGTATGATTATTTGATACCCTTTGGGGAGGAAAGCGTTAAAATTGTAAGAAAATCATTGAAAAGGTTATTTTGCATTTTTTATTTTCAGCTAAATCCTGTTTACGTTCGTTTTAGAAATATTTAGATGCGAACCATTCCTTCTTTATTCGTTGACCTCTAACTGTAAATGAATGGATGTATCGTTATATACACTTTTTGATGATGTCATCAGTTCACAATCCTAAATTGTGGATGATAAATTATCTGAACTGATATATAGGCTTGAGAAATCTCCGACATCCTTCAGTTCTATGATTTGCCAGGAGTTCCAGCACGTCCAGAAGGCCAAAAGAACGCTTGAAATTTGATATTATTCAACCAAGGTATGATCTTTAAATAGAACTTTAATTGATTATACATACAAGTGGTATTTGAGAAGGATATTCTCAGCTCATCTCTTGTGCCTTACCTATACTAATTATGTTGCAGGGACCATTTTTTTGACACGGAAGAAAGAAGAAGGGGATACAAAGAACAAACCTTCAAAATGCCTCAACCAAGAGGAGTAGCCCCTGGACAAAGACCGATTCGTACACACTATAAAACTGATTTCTCGAAAATAAAGGATTCAGTGAAAATTGGACTTGACATTTCAGATTAATTTGCAAATTAGTAATTGGTGAAAAAATAACACTTTGGAAAGAAGTTTTAGTTGTTCAAGAGAAGTGACCGTATTTTTTCCTAATATTCAATTTTTGTGCTGCTTGCTGAGCTATACTTGAAAGACAATCAGCTCAATTTATGTCTATATTTGGGTTGAAAATGTGTGAAGTCCCAAAATGTTTTATTATTCTAACATTTCTAAAATATGATTGGACAAAGTTTTAGACTTTCTTTAAGTGTTACCGGTCTATTTCAAAACAATAATTTATATACAAAGATGAGCTCATTTATTTAAATACAATATCATGAATAAAGGGAGATGTCATGTAATTATTGTATCTGGTTAAATTGTGTATATTGTGCTGAGCAATACTGTATGCTTGTAAGGTTTATACCAAGGGGTATAAAACAATCATACAATCTTGTCTAGTTTATAAATGACATACATGTTTGTAAAGGCCAATTACTCTGATATTCTGATAAAACCATTTCGCCCCACTGCATTGTTTGCTCCGCCACATTGATCATACTTATTAAAGAAAGGTGTACCTGTTTGAAGTAAGAAATATTTCAATATGTACTGAGATTATCCATGATAATAATTAACTTTCCTTCGTCAAAAATCTTTGAGGGTCCATTTTCTGAAGATAACAAAAATGCAAAACAATTTGTTTTATCGATTTTGTTAAATTTTGTTAAGGCAAGGGGTTTAAAATAATCATTCAAACAATATTGTTTAGTTTATAAATGCCATACATATTTTAAATGGCCATTTGCTACATTTTTAATATTCTGATAAAATCATTTTGCTCCCTAACATTGACTGCTCCCTAACATTGACAAGAGTTATTTTTTATTATTTTTTAAAAAATTGAATAAAAGACGGCGTATCTGTTTGAAGTAAGAAATATTTTAATCGGTATTTAGACTATCTTGGATAATAATTAGAAGCCTTCGTTAAATTACGTTAAAAAGTTATAATGGAAAAACGATCATTTTGAGTGTAGGGCGTTCGCGCCTTTTTTAGTAACTTCGTATTAGATTATAAAAGACTTCCGTCGAATTTCGTACAGAAGCGTGATTGACATTGTCATTGCATGTGCTAGTACATTTTCTCTGCGAATGAGCAGTTTTTCAGTAAAAAAATATTTTGTGTGAAAATATTGAAATTTATTGTAAAAACGACCTGCTCCCTAACATTGACCAAATCAGGCGATGACATCCCGTGGGACAGATTTTCCTGTTCTTTCTTGGGGGTGACATAAAACCAAATAATAAATATGCAACAGGAATATGAAGCCATATGGATATCAGAATCATATCAGAAGAAATCCTATCATAAAAAGAGAGCCCATGCTTAATTCTTTTTCAGATGAGTCCAGTCAAAAATGCATCAAATTGCAAAAATTGGCCAGTGTTTCAGACCAAGTCCCAAGATGTTGCCAGGCATGAAAAAATATCTCAATCCACCATAAATTGTTTGATTAGCCATTTTTGAACTAAAATGAGGACATATTCATACGTATATCCCCATGTTTACAAATAGCTTAATTTTACTGCCTTTCACTTTTTGAATTCCTGGCTTCACCTTTGCAGCTCAAAACAAAATACGTAGAAGTGAGTCCAACACAAAAAATTCCGTAATATAACATAGGGCAACCTATCTCATAATCGTGTGCTTCACTGATTAGTGATTCTGCATAAGTATTTATCATTACAGGCAGTGTCTTTAAATAGGATCAGTGATCTCCCTTATATCAAATTAACAAGGTGCTTTATTTATTATTAGGAAATTATCAAGAGCCATGGGGTTGAACATCTTTTTAAAAACAGTAACAGTAAAGTAAAACGTCATGGTGCCAGGTATGGTTACATTTCTAAATCAAAAACAAACAAGGCATTAACAGGACAAAATGTCACCACCTAAAACAATTTGGTCAATTTAAAGCAAGTTGGAAAATACCTTTTGACCTTAAGAAGGTTTGATTTGAACTTCTTAGAACATGTAGATGATTTTGAAAAAAAAAATCGTCAATTTGAAGCAAGTTGAAAAAATACCTCTGACTTTTTTTGACATTGAGAAGGTCATTGAAGGTCAAATGTCAAATGTAAAGTCAGATTTGAACTTCTGAGAACATGTAGATGATTTTGAAAAAAAAATTAAGTAAATTTGAAGCAAGTTGAAAAAAGACCTCTTTGACCTTTTCAAGGTCATTGAAGGTCAAATGTCAAATATAAAGTCAGATTTGAACTTCTGAGAACATATAGATGATTTTGAAAAAAAAATTAGTCAATTTGAAGCAAGTTGAAAAAGACCTTTTTGACCTTGAGAAGGTCATTGAAGGTCAAAGGTCAAATAAAAATTTGGTCAATTTGAAGCAAGTTGAAAACAGACCTTTTTGACCTTTTTTGACCTTGAGAAGGTCATTAAAGGTCAAATGTCAAATCTAAAGTCAAATCTAAAGTCAGATTTGAATTTCTGAGAACACGTAGATGATTTTGAAAAAAAAATTTAGTCAATTTGAAGCAAGTTGAAAAAAGACCTTTTTGACCTTTTTTGACTATGAGAAGGTCATTGAAGGTGAAATGTCAAATCTTAAGTCAAATCTAAAGTCAGATTTGAATTTCTGAGAACACGTAGATGATTTTGAAAAAAAAATTTAGTCAATTTGAAGCAAGTTGAAAAAAGACCTTTTTGACCTTTTTTGACTATGAGAAGGTCATTGAAGGTGAAATGTCAAATCTTAAGTCAAATCTAAAGTCAGATTTGAATTTCTGAGAACACGTAGATGATTTTGAAAATTTTTTTTAATCAATTTGAAGCAAGTTGAAAACAGACCTTTTTGACCTTTTTTGACCTTGAGAAGGTCATTGAAGGTCAAATGTCAAATCTTAAGTCAAATCTTAAGTCAGATTTGAATTTCTGAGAACACGTAGATGATTTTGAAAAAAAAATTTAGTCAATTTGAAGCAAGTTGAAAACAGACCTTTTTGACCTTTTTGACCTTGAGAAGGTCATTGAAGGTCAAATGTCAAATCTTAAGTCAGATTTGAAGGTCAAATGTCAAATCTAAAGTCAAATCTAAAGTCAGATTTGAATTTCTGAGAACATGTAGATGATTTTGAAAAAAAATTTAGTCAATGTGAAGCAAGTTGAAAAAAGACCTTTTTGACCTTGAGAAGGTCATTGAAGGTCAAATGTCAAATCTAAAGTCAGATTTGAACTTCTGAGAACATGTAGATGATTTAGAAAAAAATTGAAGTCAGTCTAAACAGTATTTGTTAAGTTATAGGAAGTTGTAAGAAATTGTTACAGACGCCGGACGCCGGACGCCAGACACCGGACACCGGACGCCAACCACCAACCGCCGTCGCAAAAAAATGGAGACCATAACAATATGTCACCACTTTTGGTGGTGACATAAAAATGATACTTTTGCACCCAGTTGAAATGAATCCTTGGGAGGACACTGATATTACTTTTTACCCATCATGCACATACAATGTACCTGTCATTACAAAATAAATAGTGAAAATAATCAGCATACCAGAATCCAGATACAGCAAGAGATTCTGTACTGCTCGTTTCTCTTCCTCCATAAGTTCATCATGGTAAGAGTCCCCACTCACGTGACCATGGGGGGTGGGGATGCACCCGCATGTGATGCAACACAGACAATACCCTAGCGCCCTCTTAAGTAGTTCTACCAACTCATCCAGAACATCGGCTTTTTTGCTCTTGCCATCTGTAGAGTCATCAAAGCTGAAAAACAATACAATTCAAAAATACACGTTATATCTTTTGGAAACTTCTATTATAACCCCATTCAGATATGAGCTGCTTATACTTTTACTGTAAATGGTATAAAAACTCAGGATTTCGAGAAGAATAATTCCATAACACATTTTAAGCAATGACATAAGAAACCATGTGTTACTTTATACATGACTTTCTCTGTTTCTATTATGAATATACATGTAGTAAATACAGGTTTTGAAACATGAGTCAATATCATTCTTAATTTCAATGAACATTTTATTACTTTAACAGTGCATGCCACCTTTTTCATCTGGGGTGAATAATTGCAATGTTGCCAACCTTTTTCTTTTTTTAAAATATGCAAAAGTTTCTTTATACCTGGAGGAAAAAAACACAGAAATGACACAAAAAAACAGAAGGCCAAAAGGCAGTCTGGATAAGTTTAGATAAAGCAGATAAGAAACGCTAACATTCGCAATTCTACAGTAAAGGCCAGTAAAGTATAGAACTGAGCATTAAAGGAAAAGGCTACATATTATTAAGGCTACAGTGGCCTTCCTTGGTATTTTCACAAAAAAACAGTCCGTAAAAATCCACATGATTTTCTGAATTTTGAAATCCTGTTTTACAATAAATTTTCATCAAGGACTCTCTTTAATATGTAAAAAACAGTTAAAATAAAAACCAAACATGAATTATTTTCATGTCCTTGGAAATGTAATTTATCAGTTTCATAGTGGCAAAAGGATAGTTTTTATTAATGAAGTCTATAAACCCATTTTAAAACCATCCCTGACAATGAAAAATATATCTGACCTTGAAGAAGCAATTATTTATTTGACATTTTACATTCAAACTGAACTATTTCTGATCAGTGTTTGATGGCCTAGTCTTGTGTAATTTGTGTAATGTGTCTCAGAGTATGGAGGAAGTCAGATACTCAATGTAAGACTATTTGATATAAAATCATGGGCATCCCCAATGGGTGGGGGTGCTAGACTACAACCCCCTTTTTGAGTCAATCCTCTGGGATTTCATTCATGGTGCTGAGGAAAAGGAGACTCAGATGAAAGAAGAACTATGTGCACCCTTAAAAACTACAGTAAACCTTGTCTTAGTGTACTAGTAATAACTTGTCTCAAGCAGACACCATTCCTCGGCATACTGACTTCTGTATAAATTGCTCTCTCTGTGGTGAACACCTACCAACACTGAACATTTTTTGGGGGAAAAAAATGTTCAATATACACAAGGTTTACTATACTACATTAGGCTTTATGTAAGTCTAAAAAAAAGTAATTCTTCCTAAATGGACATTCTGGATAAGTCAATCATTAAATATCCCTAGCAAGATCTTTTCTTGCAATAAAAATTAATAGTATAGTTTCCATATAGCTTTTGAAATCTCGCTAAATCTCGTTTTTCGTGAGATTTTAAGAGACTTGCATATTAGACCTCTAATGACTTACATTACCTTCTTTTAAATGGTATATTTGAATTCAGTGGAATGTTTTCTCCTAAAATAGCTTTGATTTACACAGTTATGTAATTTGAATAATTTTCTATGACAATTTAAAAAAAGTTGGGCCAAATGTCCATAGATGCAATGCTAAAATTCTTTAAAACCGTGGATTATTTGTATGTCAATCAACATTAGCATGTTTAATCACAACATGTTCATAAACAGGGTCATCATGTGGTATATCATTCAAGTTTTATACAGATTCAACAAACACACTTTGATAAATCATGAAATTAAGCCACTTTTCCAAGATTTTAGCATGTAAGTGAATGGAGCTCTAGCCAGAGTTAAAAGCTGAATAAAAGATGGCAGCACGAGATTTCATTGATTTTTCTGCTATTTAGAAACTATCCTATTGGAAAGGTTTTGTTCTCCTGACATGACGTCAAAAAAGAAAATGAGTGTCTATCATTATCAGATAATGATGACTGTAAAACCATGTACCAAGAAAAACAATCTATCAAATGATAAGTCACAACATTGACATCACTAACAGTTACCATAATGCATCATACTTAAAGTCATTTTCTTCAAGAAGTCATATTCTTTGATAAGCATATAAATATGTAAACAGCAAAGAAAAGGTAGAATAATCAATTAAAAATGCATTAAGATTTATCCTTAATGATATATCCAACTTCTTTTCGAGGAAATAATGATGTAAGACGTTTTGGAAGGGTTACTAGATTCCTAGGATGATCCAATATAAGAAAATTCATTATCTTCAGTAATTCAGTAACCAGCATCAGCTTACTGTGATGACGCATTTTCTGGGAAATCAGTCTCTGATTGCAATTTAAGGATTTTAAGATGATTCTTGGATAAAATAATAACCACTGCCCTTCTTGTATATGTAGACATGTAGATATATATATATATCTTAGGCTCTGTTGAAGAAAAAATGGAGGAAGGGTGCCAGAAAGGGACTTGGTGTAAGACGTTGTGTGCCATAGTTTTCATAGCTATTTGAAATGACTCACCCAAACCCAGAAATGACTCACCCAAACTCTAACTGTATCTCTTAGTGGGAACTAAAATAACTTCTACACACATTTGTGGCTAATTTTATAATACTTATATCTTTTTGATGAGAGTGAATCTGGATGTCCTGATATGATAAGTGATAATGTACCATTCAAATGTTGCATGAGACACCCCATGTGGGAAGGGTTGCTCGTAGCCAGGTTTTACCAAGGGGGGGGGGGGGTGGGGGAGCTTTTGCCAATGTGGGGAAGCTGGAATTGGTAGGGATATTGACAAAACAAGAGTTGGGCTGTCAATTTTTCTCCCCTAGGAGCAATAATATTCATTTCAAAGCTAAAACTGCATACTCCCAGTACAAACTACTGTGTCAAATCCCAACCCCTGGTACAATACCGTGCGTCAAATTCCTGCCCCTCTACATGTGAGGGGGTCTCACATATACCTTAGAATAGTGCAAAAGTTACAGGATATTTGGTTAGTTCAGCAGAGATTTTTTATTTATTTTTCATTTCATAGCAAAACACAAATAAATTCACACCCTACTCTCCATTCAATATAATTCATAAAGCCTCTCTACATGTATAGCTTGTAGCACTTAGTGCTAAACTTAAAATGCCTTTGACACATCATTTTTTCTGCATGTCTCATAATTACCATGAACGAATCCTGCATTTTCTGAATATGGTGTAGAATCAATCAACTGCGCAGTTCTTGAGAAAATTTACCAGTTTGATAAGCATAAAACATGTGCTTTTCTCATATAGCATAACAGTAATTATTTTTAAGGTTAACTAAGTTAACAGCAATATCATATGATACCTAGTTTAACAATAACAAATCAATAGAAAATTAATTAAACATGAATTATACTTGACCACAAAACCCTCATTTATTTATAACACTTCATTAACTCTAACATGAGATAACAAAAATAAATCAATGATGCAGAAGGCTACAAAATCCTCATTGAATCATTCAGTATAATAAGGTAATATGAGGTTAGTGGCTGATTGTGTTAAAATGTACTGGAAAGGTAGAATAACATTCTGACTTATCCAATGCTTGTAATTCAAGGGACACTATAGGGGCTATGATCCCACAATGGAGGGATTAGCAATTGAAGAGCAGTGTGCTGTGCACTTCTCAAAAATGGGTGCAAAATTTTGACTGAACTTGGTCAAAATACATACTGTTAAACCAGTGTATTCCTTCAGTCATATGAAATACCTTGAAGTATCAAGATCAAAATATGTCTGTCCTATTTTGGTTTCACAGCCTCCACTTTCTCTAGGAGTATGCATTCAGACATTAATGGGAATTATGTTAAATCCAAATGTCCCTGCCAAATTTCCATGATTATTTTTCATTCTCAGGGAGGTTTTCAGTCGGGCAAGCCTATTTTCAAAATGTCAAGTGGGCTACATCGACCATATATGGATGTAAATGGTGGAGTCTGAAATCTAGTTCAACAAAATGACACTGAAAAATACTGAACCATAACATCTAGGACAAAATAGAAAAATAAATCAATGAAATATCAATTTTATCACACTTGACTGAAAATTAGTCATTTAAGATCAATAATATCATGATACATTACATTAAGGTGGCCTATACACTTTTTGATTCATTTTTTGGAGCCACTCATAGTAAAATTACAATTTCTCAACTTCTCAATGTCCAATCAAGACCATTCAAGTACCTTTGTATTCCTGAAATGATTGGGCATCCGAGAATGACAACGTCCACCCAAAGTTTGGCATGCATGCTACATTGACCTTATTAATGACTGAAATCGGGAAGACAAAAAGGTATGACATTCTTTCAGAGTTGCTTAAAATAACTATTTATAAAATGTTCCCAAGACATTTAGAAATGTTTTATGCATGTGCGACTCCAAATAAAAATGGACTTGTGATTGTGCATGTGATCATATCCTGCAAATTGATTGGATATCATGTTCACTGATGTGCAATGCTGAATAATAATTATTAATGATGGGCACAAAATGGCAAGTAACTATGAGAGCTTCCCACTTCTGCTGGTACCAAATGAAGAATTTTAGCCCCTTCAGTGAACTCTTATCAAGCACAAAAAGAACCCCAGCCACTTAACACAACCACTTGTACCATATTGTACCTTCTTTAGCATAGGTCCTTTGACCCATCCTCCTAAGCAGGTGTCCAGAACCCATACTTATTAACTTAAAAGCAGGATATGCAATTTTTACACATTAACTTTAACATGTACGTATATGGTTACAAAACTATACTCTGGGATTATTTCACACCTTGAACACATGTTATTTTATCAATATGATAAAACACTCCTTCTTTTAACCAACTTCTGTTTCAGAATATTTTTCGTTCACTTTGCCTTTTGGAACTCGAAAAGTCAAAAGGAATTCTGAAAACAAAATGATCCTGTTTGTGTTATGTTCTTTAATCGCGATTGGTAGGTAAATATTAACAGGTCTACCTGTAACTGATAAATTAGCCTATGTAAATTAAAAAAGTTGTATGGTGCTTTATCAATCACAATTTTTTATCACACCATCGGTGGGATATAGTCGTCATACTGGTCGTGATCGTGGTCGTGATCGTGATCGTGGTCGTGATCGTGATCGTGGTCGTGATCGTGGTCGTGATCGTGATCGTGATCATCCCGCTTTTTGTCATCGCCGTTTAAGGAAAACTGCTCATCAGATTTTCTCCAAATTCGCAGAGATGATAGAGCATATGAAGTACTAGAGCTGATTAACTTTTGGGTGGCCATCTTGTTTTCTGGCGGCCATTTTGAAGGTTTTTCGAAAAAATCTTGTCATCGCCATTTCAGCAAAACCGCTCATTGGATTTCCTTCAAATTTACACAAATGATAGAGGATATCAAGTACTAGAGCTGATTAACTTTTGGGTGGCCATTTTGTTTTCTGGCAGCCATTTTGAAGATTTTTCGAAAAATCTTGTCATCGCCATTTCAGAAAATCTGCTCATCGGATTTCCTTCAAATTTACACACATGATAGAGGATATCAAGTACTAGAGCTGATTAACTTTTGGGTGGCCATCTTGTTTTCTGGTGGCCATTTTGAAGGTTTTTCGAAAAATCTTGTCATCGCCATTTCAGGAAAACCACTCATCGGATTTCCTTCAAATTTACACAAATGATAGAGGATATCAAGTACTAGAGCTGATTAACTTTTGGGCGGCCATCTTGTTTTCCGGTGGCCATTTTGAAGGTTTTTCGAAAAATCTTGTCATCGCCATTTTAGGAAAACCGCTCATCGGATTTCCTTCAAATTTACACAAATGATAGAGGATATCAAGTACTAGAGCTGATTAACTTCTGGGCGGCCATCTTGTTTTCTTGTTCTTGAAATTTGTAAACATAATAGGGGAACAGTTTTCCTGGTTCATAGTGTCTGCCTATTTGATGGTGTGATCTCGTTCACGTCCTGTGCCTTGTTCTGTATTTTTATACCAAACATCCAGAGGTACAATATACGTACATGCATGGAGTAGACAACAGAACAGATTTTTTCATGAATATTCCATACTTGAACTACTCATGTAGTAACAGTGTCCCAAATGAAAAATTCCAAAACTCACAAGAAATGATGAAGATATTGGTTCGAATCTATTGGACTGTTTATTTTGAATTTATAGACGGTTAAAATTTCAGAAAATAACGACATTTTAATATTTTCATTGTTAGAAAATATCGAGTTCCTATCCTGGGAGCCAATCCTCCTTGTACCCTTTAGTAGTTTCAATAGAACTTTGAAATGTAAGCGCCATGCCTCAATTCACCTAATTGCCTTAATTTAAAAAAACACTTTTTCACAATTCACATCTTTATTCAGAACATACTATTTATATAATATTAATTCATATAATTGTTATTTTTTCAGCAAATAGAATTGGTATTCTTAGAATTGGTGACAGTCATTACCCTCATCAATTTCATGTTCTGTTCACTCCTCTGCTAACATTGCTTTATTTTTCTTTCTAAATAAATAGAATATTAAACAAGGCATCGAGTTGCTTAATCCTTGCATAATTTGCAATTGATTACAGGAGGTATTTTATGTCAAATTCTTTTTTAGCGTATGGGGAGATCACGACAGACCTTCATATAGTCGGAGGTGAAGATGCCACTTATGGTGACTATCCCTACCAGTTGTCATTCAGGGACTGCCTGTTTGGCTGCTCACATATCTGTGGTGCAGTTCTGATCAGTAGCAACTATGCACTCACTGCTGCACATTGTACAGAGAATTACAATCCGTAAGTTCAAAGATAATGTCACAGGGGAAACTAGACAACAGCAACGCCAAAGCGTAGCAAATCCCATCAAACAGCCATGGCTGGTATTTTTACAAACAAAATATATAGCAAAATCCCCTTTTGTTTTCCTATACTTTCTGCCGCACTCATGCAAAGGTTTGGAAACAACACATACGTTATTAAATCATCCTACAATGCATTAGGTCATGGGATAAATCCTTTAGTAGTCGATCTAAGATGTTCTCCAGTATCAACCCTAATGTCAGCCTTTGTATATTTAGGCTTTTTATTGACTTGTTGTGTGGTGCTCATGATCTTGGTGGTGCATTTCCTGATACTGGCGAGCGGACACTCATTCCTGTCACATTCACAGAAGTAAGTGATCATAAACACTTCTAAAAAATGAAAAACCTAGCTCCCATCAGTGTAATTTTCCTATTACATAGTAATGTACTTGACCCGACATGTTTGAATCTAGTTTAAGATGCATTTTAGATCTTCAAGCTCGGTACAGAGGGAAGTGTTGATTGACAGTTGTATGTCATTGGTAATCAAACAATTTCTTTTAAAAACGTATCATTTTTTTTATTTGATTTCAGCACCCAGATTGGGTAAACGATAATACTCGAGGTTTCCCAAATGATATTGCTATAATACAGCTAGATAGTGCAACAACCCCTAGTACATACTGCTCACCTATTGGTTTAGCTACAGGTGCGAGTGATTTCGCAGGAACTAATTGTCTAATCTCTGGATGGGGGATAGTCGACCCTGGTAAGCATGTGAATAAAGGAAGTAAATGTTATACACTATACTAGACAACAGCAGTACCAAGGCGTGGCAAATCCCATGAAACGGCCTTAGGTGCCCTATTTACAAAATTGCTTCACTATGATACCATAAGACAGTAAGATGACAATTTATTCAATATTCTTTTTCAAGCTCTTGGTGTAGCAGCTGACATACTTCAGTATGCTTCAATGGCTGTGCAAACCAACGCTGAATGTGGAGCGGTTTGGGAGAACCTTATCTCTCCCTTCCATATCTGTGTGGCTCCTCCAGCTGGACAAACCGGTCCATCAGCATGCAGTGTAAGTGTTTAGTCATAGTGTTCGCAAGACAAACCCTCAAATATTTCATCTGCTTAACTTTAAGAGTCTACGTTAACGTTTGAAATCAGTCTCTCTAACTCTAAACTTTTATTTGATGAACCTACTAAAAATGACTCATAGATCTTAGAATGAGAACCTATTGTTAACTTTTATAATTATCAAAAATGGTTTTATCTAATCCTTCAGACCTGAAGTTATTTTGTTTTGGACATATTTGGAAGTTTGTATAAGGACGTAGTTTAGGTGTTAGGTATTTCTGCCAACTGGATGAACATTATTAGGTGACTTTTGAGGTCAAGGTTAAGATTTATGGGTCAAGGGGATCCATGATCAAAGGTCGATAGCTAGGTATCTGGCATTTTAAAGCCCTTTGGGGCTACCGCAACTCTTCTCGAATTGGTAGATTGCTAGTACAAATAAATTTTGCAATTGGCTGCGAACAGATATAGTGCTTTTATTTTTCTACTTAGGATCACACTTTGGTCCTATGAATGGTTACTCTAATGAAAATTGAATCCAAAAATAACACTGTGATTAAAACTTTGGCTTAGTGTATAGAAGATAACAATGTTTCCTATATTTCCACAGGGTGATAGTGGTGGCCCGATGACATGTACAGAGGGTGGTAACAAAGTGGTTGCCGGGGTGACCTCGTGGGGAAACAGTGAATGCGTTACCACACCATCCGTGTACACAAGAGTATCTTACTTCAAGGATTGGATCTGCACAAACACCAACAACGAACCAGCCGGATGTTAGGGACACGACTATAAATATATTTTAATAGTACTATGTAGTTTGTGGAGTACATTATGCCTCATAATATCAAAAATGATTCACACAATAGATAATTTGGCAATAAAAGTAGCCACACGACTAATATAGTCATTGCAAGAGCTGGTTCATTTTCTCTGCGATTGCCGAATAAGCAGCTTTTCAATATTGAAATTTCTTGTAAAGACAACCTCACATCATCCAAATTAGTAGATGACATGCGTTGGAAATTGCCACCTTACAATTACCCCAAAATGCTCCTAAACTTATCAGATGTAAAGTTTCATACCAAAAAAACATCCCTAAAATTTTCAGATCTATAAAATGGTTTGCCTTGAAACTTGTAGACTTCACAGACAAGATAGTGGGACGGAATATCCAAAAATGGCAGAGAACATAAAATCATCTCATAAACTACTCATGCTGTAACATTGGTTTTTACAATGCAGGACACCAGAAATCATTTATAAAGTTACTAAATGGTCCAATGTTTCCATGACTAAAATGGTGGCCACTTTGAAAATAGGTGAGTTTTTGAACCGAAACTCATAGGGTGCATTTCTCCATTGATGAGTAACCAAAAACACTTCAAAGGG